CAACAAAAAATGCAAAATATGGGTCCTTTGACATTAAAACCCACACTGAGCAGGTGGACTTTGAATCTGAGTAGGAGTTTCATCCCTTGAGGTTAAATATTTGAGATGTCTTGTACCAAGCCTGTTCCCCTATTCACACCTGTTCAAAAAATGCATGTATACTGACACACCTTTGCTGGAGCAGTCGGTAAGCGACCAACACGAATAAAAATCTAAATAACCCTGTAGAAACCATAACAACTGCTCCCAAGTCTAAGCCAGGTTAGCTCCTTTGCTACTTTCCTAGCATTAGCTAACCTAACGACCTGAAGTAGCATTAGCCTGCTAACTGTTATATCTTCCCCAAGTAAGTTGATTTAAACTACCACTCATTTGTAAACCACTCTCTGATGAATAAGGAATCTAACAGGCAGCGTTCAGGTCAACCGCAGAGGAAAAAGGCAAACTAACTGGCTCATTAACGAGCTAATTAACAAGCCCTTCAACACAAAGTTAGCTCACTCGTTGGGTGAGGGCTGCATTCCAATTGGCTCTCTGGTGGACACGTAGTGCACTATCCGCGCGTAGAAGTCACTACTCCGTGCTGTACTTCGCTGGGGCACTACATAGGGAGCAAGGAGTAATTTGAGACTCGGCCGAAGACTAGCTAGTTAAAAAACGAGTTAGCAGTGATCAACTAGAACACGCGAACGGCTTTTTAAAACAGACTTAAGTACAAATGAGTAATTAGAAAACGTCCTAGGGGGTTTTCAGCAGGATTAGTTTTAACCCAGTGTCATGAAGGTGTCGGCGAAGTGCGGCTGGGAAAACACTCACCGCTTCAGTCCGTCGTCCTCTCCTCTCCTCTCCGACTCCCGGCTGGGCTGTTACTTTAGCAATGCTAGCGACACTACTTCGGCTAATTTCTGTTTGTATAAAGAGCCATTCTGCGCCAATTAACAGCACTCGGTACCCTTTAATGAGGTAATACCACAGATAACTGGATAAATGTAACGTGTATATGTTAGAGACCGATTTTGAAGGCGGTCGTACGTTTAGAATAAGCGAAATTAGTCTGTTCGGCTTCACCGGGAGTCGCCAGTTTAAGGCTGCGCTTCCTATTAGATAATTCAGCTGCTCTCTGCTTCTTTTCGGGGCTTTATGGCGGACGGACCGCCACCCGCCGCATTGCTGCCACCTACAGTGCGGAGATCTGTAAAATTGGACCCGAGGCCCCGTCCCAGTTCGTGTACTGAAGGTTTAAAGGGGGGCTCCACTGGCATTTCAAAAATTCAGCATATTTAAATATTCGTAAGCTGAACAGTCGTTCAGAGTGGTTTGATGTGAAGTACTTCCTTCTAGAGAAACTTACAGAGGCAGAATTGTTCACAGTGATAGTGATAGGAACCAGACGTCCGAAGTGTTTAGTGCCTCTGAAAGTTATATTACATAACATTAGTGCATGAAATGGTTATGAATGATGTCTGAGACTTTGTTTTACGAAAAGCGTTTGGCCTAATATGTACTTTAATGGTGGAGAGGCCCATGCAGGCTGTTGTGAGGCAACTTAGTGCCCAAAGAAATCTTATCAGATTTACCACTATTTTACCATTATTAACGTTATACAGGGTGTCCCAAAAAATTGACATCATTTGGTGTGAATATCTGAGTAAATACATGTCGTAGGCAAACGAAATTAAATAGGCTTCATGTTGAACAATACAAGATTTATTTATCAAAATTCGAACAAGAAATTCAGAGGGATGTAGATTTTATAACCAATTTCACAAAGCTTCACAAATGTAATATCTTCCGATACCGGTGGTCGTCCAGATCCCTTTGTCCTGCACAGACAGCCTTCCTCTCTGAATTTATTGTGCCGTGTCCAAATCTGCTTTCCAGGTGCATTTTTATTGAATTTTCTTGAAAATGCACGCTGGACATTTCTGTTTGACTGTGTTCGAGCATATTCTAACACACAAAATGCCTTTTCACTTCCAGTGAACGCCAATCTTCAACCTGAAGAAAAAACATTAAAAATTAAACTTGGTTAGTTTTTACACATTTTGTTAAAATTTGAGATAATTTGAGGGAGAATTGACTATGTTATTAGACTATGAAATGATGTCATTTTTTTGGGACACTGTATAGAAATTCAGAGGACATGTTTGTTCACTGTTGGTTTTGGCTCATGAATAAAATGGATGTGTTTTTGTTGTACAAAAAACATTGCGATCCCTGGTTCCTATCACCACCACTGTGAAGAAAACCTGAGATTATAAGTTTGTCTGCAGTGAAACATTTCACACCAAACTACTCTGAATAACATTGTTTACATCTCATTGACTGAATTATGTAGAAATTTAAAATAATTGGTGAAATTCCCCTTTAAGCCTTAAGGCAGAACATGCAGACTATTTTACTAAGTGCATGTTGCTAATTACAGTAACAAAACTATACAAGTTTACATACATATGAAAATATGGAATATCATTGGTTAAGCCTGGTCCTAGACTATACAACATTCTGAGTGGAGATAATCCACTGAAAGGAAAATGTAGCTCAGGACTAAGCTTAATAACTATCTAGGAAACCAACCCTTAAGGTTTATGGTTAGTGCAAAAGCTGGTGTTCTGCCGTATCAGGTCCTCGACACAAATCACATGGTTCATCCACATGTTTGCTAAGTAGATATAAATAGTTTAGCCTGGCATGACCCATATGCAGCCTGGTAAGCAGTGCCTGCTCCTTCTGCTTCATGCACACCTTAAAAGGCCCATGTCATTAAAAATTCCCTTGCTTTTTTAAATAAATAAATTTGATATATTATGCACACATTGTTAGTTTATCGTTCACCCTCCAGCCCTTACAGTCCATATATAGAAAGTAGGCTTCACAAACAGTCCATTTTGAATTCATTATGGTTGTGACATCACAACAATGAACACATTTATATACGACCATGCCATTTCTGTGATGTCAGGACAACCAGTGCATTTCTATGTTTCCACGTATACAGCCTACAGCAGTTTAGCCCCACCCATTAATGCTGAAGTTCTAAGGAGGGTTTCAGTCTGGATGGCTTTTTAAATGAGGCATATCAGAGCAGCCAGTCAGAACAGAAATAATTTGCACACATCAGTATTAAAAGCACAGCAGCGAAAACAGTTTGTTTAATTCCAAAGGATAAAGGTTGGAAAGTGCTCATAAAACAATGAATTATGACTGTTTTTGGTGCATAAATCTATACAACTATGTGGAAACATGGAAAAAAGAATAAAGTACAACAAAAATGCAGGGTATGGGCCCTTTAAGGTCGTTCTTAGCTGGGTTAAGTCCTAAAACTTGCAGTTTTTCTTGATGAAAATGTATCTGCCCTATGTAATGCACAGTAACATGTTCTCAAGGGTTATTATCAGTTTGCATGGAGGAGGGAATGTTAAACAAGTAACGAATGGTTGGTGTGCTCAATAAAATATTCAGTGACACTTTCACTATGTGAAAGGCAAAGTCAACAAGGTACATTAGTTTGTTAAGTCAGAAACAACACCTGCGCTGAAACATCTGCTTTAATGCAATTGAATTTCCCCACTTTGTTCAAAAGCCATTGTTTTGGCAGAAACCACTTACAGAAGACAACTGAAAAGTGCATAACATACCATTCCAGATGGACTAACATTTAAATAATGGCCAATGTGTCATACATGGCACATGAAGTCATTAACTGCACAAAAATAAAACCCATGATTGCAACACATTGTAATACATTCTGTGGAAAACAACAGAATCTAATAAATTATAACCTTTTCACCATGTGGATACAGTATATACAAAATGCAGAAGACTGTATACATAAAATTTACATTCACTTTATACAAATGCTGAATTCAAACAAAATTAATCTGTAGACAGGTTGATTAGTACATACATATATACAATTTTGCAAGACTAAGTGTAGAAGACAACTACTTTATACTCTGCCATTCAATTCCAGTAATCCCACAGCTTGATTGCACAAACCAGCTGGCTGTGAGAAACAAGATGTCACAATACAAGATGTAATGCCGAACACTAAAGGATCTTAGTGATGAATCATGTCTTAAGAACATATGTCAGTGTTACCAGTTGCATGATTTCTGTTTTGCAAAAAAGCCCCTAAATTACTAATAGATTTAATATTGTTATTGTATCTACTATTATTGGTATTATTGTAATCACTGTTACCAAGCCAGATACATACAGTTAAATCATCAACTAAGTTATTGTCAATTTTTCACTGTCTAACACAACAAAATAAATTAAACAATATGAGTTCAAAATACAGACTTCAGCTTTGAGTGTATTTACAGCCATATTGGGTAAACAGTCTAGGAATTACAACATAGCCCCTCATTTTTAGGGGCTCAAAAGTAAATGGACAAACTAACAGTCAGAGATTAAACTGTCATTTTTAATACTTGGCCGCAAATGCTTTGCAGTCGATGTCTGCCTCAAGTCTGGACCCAGACACTGGCTTTCTTCCCTAGTGATACTCCGCCAGGCCTTTACTGCAGTCATCAGTTCCTGCTTGTTCTTGGGGCATTTTGCCTTCAGTAAGTGAAATCATGCTCGAATGGATTGAGGTCAGGTGACTGACTTGGCCATTGCACTTCTTTGCCTGAAAAAAGTCTTGGGTTGCTTCCACAGTTTGCTGCAGGTCATTGTCCATCTGCACAATGAAGTGCTGTCCGAAAGGTTTTGAAGAATTTGGCCAAATCTGAGCAGATTATAAAGCCCTATACACTTCAGAAGTCATCCTGCCGCTTTGTCAGCAGTCGCATCATCAATAAATATAAAGGAACCAGATCTACTGGCAGCCAAGCATGCCCACACTATAACACTACCTCCACCATGCTTTACAGATGAGGTGGTGTGCTTCGGATCATGAGCAGCTTCTTCTCTTCTCCTTACTCTTACCATCATTCTGGTACAAGCTGATCTTTGTCGCATCTGTCCGTAAGATGTTGTAGAACTGTACAGCATGCAAACTCCAATCTGGTCTTCCTGTTTTTGGTTTACATCTTGTGGTAACCCCCTGTATTTACTCTGATGAAGTCTTTTCCTTGATTACTGACCTTGACACAGATACGCCTAACAACTGTAGGGTGTTCTTAGTCTGGCCAAATGTTGTGAAGGGTTTTTTTCTTCACCACGGAAAGAATTCTGTCATCCACTACAGTTGTTTTCTATGGACTTCAAGGCCTTTTGGTGTTTCTGAGCTGACCAGTGCTTTCTTTCTTTTTAATAGTATAACAAACAGTTGATTTGACCACCCCTAATGTTTTTGTTATCTCTCGGATGGGTTTGTTTGATTTTTTCAGCCTAATGATGGCTCTATATGACTCTATAAGCTCTTTGGACTTAATATTGAGACTTTACACTAACCAATTCAAAATGCAAATGCCACATTTGAAATCAACTCTATACTTTTATCTGCTTACTTGTATGTGAAATAATGAGGGGAAAAACACACATTAAAAGGCATCATTTTGATTTAGATCTGAGCATTAATTGAACTTCACAGCAGGGCTTCACAGCAACTTCACAAACTGCAGCACTAATGAGAGGTAAGTGTCATTATATATTATGTATGGAGTTTCCCTTATTTTCCCAGCGCATTCAGTCAGTCAGCCAGCCTGAATTGGTCAATGTCAGGGCCCACATTGTGAGCTGGTCAGTAGCTCCAGTGTTGGCGCAGGCCTGTATGTGAGGTAGCAGATCATGCGGTTGGGCAGCCCCAGCTGAGGCAGCACTTCCAGCGCTCTTTTCCCCAGTGCTTTCCTGAGAGCAATCCTGCTTAAGTGCTGAAGACTAAGGGGTTCAGCTACACAGAAACAAAAACAGACTTCATCATGTTTTTTTCTCATTTTGTTTTTTTTTAAAACGACTTAAAAATGTATACTTCAGATAAAACAACAACGACAGAGTAGAGCTGCTTGTCATCATAAAATGAGTGAAACTTACTTTCGTAGAAGTCCAGGCAGAGTGCTGCTGGCGATCCAGCGTTGGTGTAATGGATGGGCTTCTTGCCAAGGTTGTCTCTGGCAAACACGTTACCCCCAAACTCAACCAACAGCTCAATCATCTCCAGATTGTTTGCTTTAGCAGCATGGTGAAGGGCTGTCTCGTGAAGCTTTGCAGCATTTACATTTGCACCTTTGGAAAAAATAAAGCAATTACTGAAACAAATCAGGAAAAAAAGAGAAACAGAATGCATTTGGATACTCAATTTGTACATTGTTGATGGAGAGAATATCATCTAAGTCACAGATTAGTAGGAGCAGGCCCATGAACAGACTTTTTTCAGGAAAAGAGCAACATTAACATGAATTAAATTTAATAAACAGAATATTGCAGACAGTGACAGAGACAATGTTTCAGTGTGCAAGAAAGCATTTTCCCAAAGCAGCCAAAAATACTAGCATTATTGTCCAGTAATGTTATTTACTGTTATCCACTATCCTATCTAATTCATCACAAATGGGTGGGTGAGTAATAACTCTGTTTAAGAGTTCTGCAGCACCTGGCATAAACCCTTTCATTTACAATAACAAAACATGATTCTGCAACTTATTAGTGCAATACTTAATTAATTATAATGTGGATGTTTTGGATCACAATAACCACATTATTCAATTTCACATTTTCTTAAACAAAAATTTCAGTGGGTTATTGGAGGGAAGCCCCCAGGCGTCTATATAAGCATGTGCCTGATCCAAGACAAATACCTTATTTCAAATTAAATGGCCAAACAAACCTACCTGCATTCAGGAGAACTTTGACACAGTCTAGATGCTGCCTGGCACAAGCCACATGAAGAGGGGTCCCAAAGTGACAATCGTGGGCCTCCATGAAAGCCCCCTCAGTTATCATGAGCTGCACACACTCTGAATTACCTGATATACAAACACAGTTGGACCTTACATCAATCCGTGTACCATGTACACATACAGTCGTTTGTGTACAAATTAAACAAGCTCAAGGAAGTACTAAACCCAGTATTATGCCCATGGTTCTAAATACAAACAGTTGATGCAAAATATTATAAACAGCTGAGCTCTTATTTCATATGGAGACCTGGATTAGCTAGGTTAGGTGCAGATCTGACATTAGGGGGCCATTTAGATGCCGTATAGATGCAGCGTAGATTTCTTGCTTTCATGCTCTTTAGTTTTTCTTTTGTTTTGTTTTTTTTAAACCTCCATTTGGATGCACTGCCCCCTGTGGTTCTGGCGCTGGCCAGGCTGAGTGTTTTGATTGGAAGTAAACAGAAGTGCAGAGACTAAAGGAAGAATATTCCTTACCTCCCCATGCAGGCCTCATGCAGAGGGGAGAAGGTGAAGAGAGGAGGGTTTACCGCGGCTCCATACTCCAGCAGGAGCTTCACACACCCAATGCTACCAGCTGCACAAGCGTCACACAGTGGTGTGCTCCCATCTATGTTACGGGCATCCACCTGTTATGTGACCACATGGGTTAATGAGTCAACCGGTTAGGTCAGTTGCCTATCAAGAACAGTAGTTGAGCGATCATCATTTTTTCTTTGTATTTAATTTTGTTCCCTAATGTCTTTTAACATTTGTATGGCTTTAAACCTGAACTATAGCATAATTTTACGTGTCTATTTTAAAACCTCTTCTGTTTTGTTACTGTACCTTTAAGACTACTATATGTAAATGACCACTGTTCTGCTGTGTTCAAAAGGCAGTGCAGGCTGAAATGTACTGGACAAACTGAAATCTTTAGGTGTGCTGGAAGAAAATAACCCTCAGCCTCCTTGATAGAATGCATGGATCCTTTGGAAGGCTGCAGTGATACATTTGCTTCCTGACAGCCATTAACAGCACAACGTTTAATCGTTTATCCTAATATGTCTGCTACAGACTCTCTGCAGTGACAACACTCAACATCAAATCCAAGTGAACTGGCTGGCTAAACCACTGTGGGCTGAATGGGTGGTCATAAACATGTTCATGGTTGTGACATCACAAGCACAACTAATTAAAAATGAGCTGTTTTTGCAGCTTAATTTCTATATATGGACAGTGTGGCCTATTACCGACAGTATTGAGCAGTAAGTTTTGAAACTTCAACAACAATATTTATAAAAAGTACAATCTTTCAGTTTATCAAGAAAAAAGGATTTTTAAATGCAGAAAACCACTACCAGAGACAGGCAAGTGAATATGAACCTCCATAGTTACAGTTACGTTACTTGCTGAACTCCATAATTGCACTAATTCACACATGAAAAATGTAAAAATCTTACATGAGCTCCAGCCTCCAACAGCAGCTTCACACACTGCGTTTGGCCTTGTATACAAGCCTCATGGAGTGGGGTAATGGAGTCCACGGCTACAATATTGACCATCGCTCCATTTGCAATCAGCTGCTGAAGCTGCGCCACTCTTCCACGAGCTGCTGCTTCATGCACTGCTGATCGGTCTGTCCAAAAGCCCAGGCCATGTGCTACAGATAGAAGAGCAGAGAAATTGATGTATAGTTACACTTTGTAATGTAACTATATGAATAAAGTATCCAGACAGCCCCTCTAATTAGCAAATTCAGCTAATTAATTAGTTAATCCACATGCAACCTGTATAATCTCTATAGAAAAGCTTTACCAATACAATGGGAGACTCAACCACACATGAGCATAAGGTCACTATGCCCAATGCAAAGTATTGGCTACAGGGGAATAAAGCCCCCCAGCATTGGGCTGCGGAACTGCATTCTCTGGTATGATGGAGCTCCACCCAATACCTTGTGGGATGAGTTGTGATCCAGAACTAATCTTCCAACATCAGTATCTAACCTCACTAATGCTGCTGTGGCTGAATGCAATCAAATCATAATGGCAATGTTTCAGCATCTAGTGTAAAGCCTTCTCAGAAGAGTAGAGTGTTACTGCGGCAAACCCCCTACGAATACCCTTAATTCAGAAGAAAAGCTGAATGATGACCACAAACCTTTGAACATATTTGGGCTGCCTAACATTATCATTGAGACATTCTGGATCTCGTTTGTTACCATGTAATCTAATAGTTTAACATATTAGAAAGCAAAGTGTTGATAGTAGATGCTATGCTTCATACTACTGGCTTAGTTTTCTCTGTTCATATGTTTATAGCATTGGGGGTTACTACACAAATTTTGATTTATTTATTTTTAATTTTGGTTTCCTTTCAGTTATTTTTAACAGTGTATTAGTAGTTGTAGTTTTTGTTTTCCAAAAAGGACATTTTCCACATATCATCAACTGCTGTAGGCTGAATGTTGGTCATATATAAACGTGTTCATGGTTGTGATGTCACAACCACAGTGAAATCAAAATTGGCTATTTTTGCACCTTAATTTCATGTATGGATTATGGGTGATACATTTTGAAACATTAACAATACTTACATAGTAATATTAAACTCAGTAGTTTAAGAACACAGAGAAAATTCCATGATATGGGCCCTTTAATTGCATGTAACTACCACTAGACACAGGTAGTTAGTTTAATTTTATTTCTGGAATCCTCTTTTTTGACAGTCTTAATAGGCATCGTGTCTCCTAGAATTTTTGTTTTGGGTGGTAGATCCTTGGTTCTCTAGACAGCATATTTAGTATGACTGTGAAGGTGCTCACACTTAAACTGTACAAACGCTGAATAAAGCAGGGGATCACAACGATGTAACAGGCCTAAACTGGACCTTGTAAAAACCTACGGAACCCCTGACGTGACACACTAGATATTTTTGATAAGCCGTGGCTACAGTTTACTATATTGACGCCAAAGATTAATATACTAAGACCACGAATTATGAGAAACGTATATATTTGAGGCCACTTCTTATGAAAAACAATCACCATGTCAATTTGGGGGCTCCGTAGAAACCAGCAGGTCCCTGTGTTTCCTAAAATATTTGGTGAAACTGCAACGTTTCTACCAAAATGCAGTGAAGGTATTTCAAAGTCATATGCCCAATCGTTGGATTTCAGCCCATGCACACACGAGAAAAGACGAAATTGTCGCGATTTTTTTTAATACTCTTCAGTCCTTGTCGTTCCTGATGCAGTAGACATTACAGTTTTGATTTAGTTTCCGTGTCTTTGAAACAAATTTGGGGAAAAGCAACATTTTCTGTGAAACTGTTAGCCGGCGCTGCACTGACACAGCGGTGGGCTTCACTGGCTTCCTCGCCTTTCCTTTCCGTTGCTAAGGAGACGGCTAACATTAGCATTAGCTCCGCTGCGTTACATACACAGTAATGAGTCATGATGGACCGTACATTTCCAGAACAAGATAAGCTGACCTACACTAAATCTCAGACTATACTCGACTAAGGCATGACAATGCAACACATTCATATTAAAAGCCGAAATTAAATATGTTTAAATCCTTATCATGCGCCAAATTTAGCAGCTAGCAAGCTAGTTAACGTGTGCTTGTAGTCCCCTGTTTGTAGCCGAGCTTAAGTCGGCTTCCTATTCGCCAGCTTCATGTTCGAATTTCCCCGTTCCACCTTAAATGCTGCAGCAGTTTCTTACTACTGCTGCACCTTTTAAGGTGGAGCGGGGAAATACGCATAAGAAGCTGACTTCAGCTCCGTCCGTCTGTTTGTACGAGCCTTACCAATATCACTAAAAAGCGATGGCCGTGTTCGTGTTATCTCCATGTCATCTTTCCCTTTTCATCCATAAAAAGCGAGGACGTCGTGCAGTAACGTTATAATCCAGCTCTATGTAGCACATCGCTGTATGCTAGCCATGGTTGGCTAGCTAGCTCCCCTTGTTTACAACCTTACACCTTCAGCAGTTTCTTTTAAAGGCTTATTGCTACCACCAGCTGGACTGGAGTAAGCGGTGACTCTTTAACTGGAATAAAGCATCGCCACGTCGATAGTTTCCCCAACTCATATTTTATTTAAAACATTTAGCGACAGCAGCATTTATGCACATTTAAAGGTACAGTAAAACCATAAACACACCTCCCTGCTGAAAAAAAGACCATTAGAACCATAAGGGTTAAAACCTGATGGTTTTGCTTTCTAATGGGAATTGGCTTAATGGGTACCACGAGTTTCCTGTAAGACACCTTTAGATCTGGACTCAGTCCTAGAACACCTGTTAAACCATTAGGATCGTTCACACTGTCGTATCAAACTTTCAGGAAAACACAAAAACACATTAGTGACTACTGGACACCACCAGGAACAAACAAACTCTTAATGGTTCCTATGATTTTTTTCAGCAGGGTTAAACAGTTTGTACTATCCATATAATACTTTCAAGTATACGCCGTAAGGGTTAGATGGGAATTCCACCCTATTTTCAAAATTTCTATTAAAGGGTTAACGTGTAAACAAAGCCGTTCAGAGTGGTTTGGTGTGGAATGTCATTCTGGAAAAACTTACCAAATCGAAATTGTCCACAGTGGTGGTTATAAGAACCAGATGTCCAGAGAGCTTAATGCCAAAAGCTACCTCACAGAAAGCTGTTACATAAAACGGTTATGCCATGCCTGAGACACTGTTTAACAATAGTTTCAAGATAAGGTTTTGCAGGCAGATACTGGGCATTGCAAGGCAAAATAGTCCCTACAAAATATATATATATGTATGTTTAGATTTAACAATATTTTACTATTATCAGCATTACATACATAAACTCAGAAGACACCTGGTCTTTTTGAATAGTAAATAAAAGCCAGTACCATTTCTTTACAATGAACCATTTCACATCTAACATCTAACTACTCTGAATGACTTTGTTTACACCTCAACTTTTGACTGGCTTTTGAAAAATGGGTGGGATTCCCCTTTAAGTTGTGAAGAAAAGTCAAATGCGTGGTCAGTCGTATGCAAAACTGCAATTTCACACACATAAAATAAAACCCTGCAGCAGGCCCCAGTGGTAGTAACTGGGCTTTATTATTTTTTCCTACCATATAACGCAAATGGGTCCGACTTCCAGCACCTTTCATAAAACAATTCACCTGTACAGCCTCATCGATGAGGGAATTCACTTAATCTGAACAATGGCTGGACCCAGTTGCTCAAAGCTATGCAGCCTTCGTCACATCTCTCCTTCACTCTTGTTTCTTATTTCTAGAAGCGGTTGCATGCTGTGTACAATCTCTAGCCCTTCATTTGAAAACAAAGCACAATTAGACGGTTAAAATTATGTAACACAACGAATATGCTGGCGAGCAGCAATAGCAGAGGAAATGTTTAGACATCAGTGGTGCGAATATGTAGGTCCAGGGGATAGTCTGTGTCCTTGGCTGGCGGTGGCTGGGAGTGGTGCCTCTGGCGTACTTGTGACTGCAGGCTCTCGCCTGTGTGTGAGAGAGAGGGCAGGGAGGAGAACGCGCTCTCTCTCTGGCCTTCGTCCATCAACTGCGTCTCATGCTTCGGGACCGGGGTCCAGGGTTGCCATGACTGTGCTGTGGAGCAGGATTTTACAAGAGGGGGTTTTCCCTGTACTGAGACAGCATGCCCACTGAAACGGCAACTCTGTTAGAGAGAAAGAGAGAGAGAGAGAGAGAGAGAGAGAGAGAGAGAGAGAGATTGTTGCTATCAGTGCTGTAAATCTTACAATAGTTCATTTAGATTACAGTTCTTTAGGAAATGATATGATGCATCAATAAAACTGAAAATCTACCAGGATTAACCACATTGGACTGAATTCTAGATAAAAATAACACATCTAACTCTATTAGTTTTATGCTTCAAAACACCCTGATAACTGTATTTTGTAATGATTGCATACTTTATTACTTATTACTTATTTATTAATTCATGGTGGATGAAGTACAATACTTCAGTACTTGAGTAAAAGCACACATACTCTTACTAAAACCACAAATATTCTATCTTTAGTACAAGTAAGAGGTTTTGTTCCAAAACACATTATAGTCCATTTTTCAAGAATGTTCTTTTTTCCATGATAGACAGTGTTGGTAGTGGGCTTTATACATGGACATATAGCATTTTGGAATTAAACCCTTCATGTTTTCTCTCTAGAGTAAAAATACAAGTATTCGATATCTTTATTTCTACTCGAGTCAAAGTAGAAAAGTGCTTGTTTGTGAATGTGCTAAAGTATCAAAAGTAAAAGTTCTTGTGAGTCACTGTAAATCTTGAACAAGTTCTTTTAAAGCTACACCATGTAAGGGATATTTGGAGACCCCTCTGGTGGAAATGTGCAACTACACACAACGTGTAGAAGAACACTTTACTTGGGTTGTGGGTTGGTCCCCTTCCCTGAGCAGATGAATCTTATGACTGCGAGTGCGTTGAAAGAGTATTCAAAGAGAACTTAGGTCACACAGAAAGTGTTTATTAAAAATGATATTTTAACCAAACTTACTTTTATTTTTGATACTTAAGTATGTTCGCAAGCACTTTTGTACTTTTACTCAGGTAAAACAAGAAATACAGATGAGATTCTTGTACTTTTACATAAGCAGTGTTTTACCAAGATTACATCTACTTTTACTGAAGTACAGAAATATTGTACTTTGTCCTGCCCTGAATATTATTATAATTGATTACAGACCCCAGATACCCCTTTTTCTTTTAAGATACCGATATTGAAACAATAAGCTGATACCGGTCCGATATTCTTTCTGTAAAAAGCTTTCAAATGAGCTACATTTAACTGAATACTTTACTTTATCAAGCTCAAACTACTCAAACACTTTACAGGAAAAATGCACAGCTAACATCACCATATCACACAATGTAAGTGAGTGCTATTTCATCTGGTACACGGTTTGCTAATCGCATAAAGTCATAACCGTGGCCTCGTTGACTGAGTCAAGCGGCTTCTCAGGCAGTCTGACTAGGCACAGAAGCGCAGAAATTGCGCTGGTGTCCATGTTAGGCTAAGGCAAACCCCCAAAGAGTGACCGTTGACTCAAAAACAAAGTAGACTCAGATGCAAAGGACTACACAGCAGGATGAGATCAAGGATCTTCTGTGTTTTCATTTTCATTTAAAACGTAACTGGAACACCCCTGACTTAGCCGTGCAGCTAACCGGGCTAACGTAAGCGTGGTTCACACTGCGTGTATGTCCTGGGGGAGAATTTAGATAAACTGCTATACCATCCACTACTAATTATAATATATCCTAAATTCTAAGATCAAGGCAGTTTAACACCTTCAGATCAGTGCATCACTGTCCACTTCTACACCCCTATTTGCACATTTATCTACACGTGCACACTTTACCTTTGATGGTCCTCTGAAGTCTTGAATTTTTGATGCAATATCTCTAATCCAGCCATTCATTTCTTCAGGTGTATCTGCCTGTGTGTGGGGAAAAAATATCAATCAAAAAAAGTGGATATGACTCTCTGAAGTTAAAGTTCAACTATTTCCTGAAGCAACAAATGATCTATTGCAGCTCTGTGTTAATCACAAAACACACCACAAAACAATGCACCAGTTTTCCTAACTCCACACAAAAAAATGCTAATTAATTATACAGTGAATGAAACTAGATATCATTATGCAAATTACTTATGTCTAAAGGCCCCTGCAAGGTTTCATTCAGTATCAACATCAGTATGTTGTGTGAAGTATTTCTTTAATGATAAAATATCTCAATGATTTTAAGATATTACTTATAGAGCAACACATGTTTACAAAATGCTTCACAGCCTGTAAGAGTTGCTGAATGGTGTAAAAGCAGGTGTTGTTTACATCTTGCTTGATCAATGGAGCATTTAAGCAGCGATCATTCAAAAACAAGTACACTTAAAATACACGCAGGTGCTGATCACTCGTGCACACAGAGACACCCCCTCAATCTAAATCCTAATTTAAAATTAAAAATTACAATTACATGTACCTGAATGTAGAACGTTCTTGTATTCGTGATGATCTCAAAAAGGTTGTCACGTGAGAGCAGTTCCCTAAAAAAAATGCAACAATTGTGTAAGAAAACAGTAAATTAGCCAGGGAAAAAATACTCTTTAAACAAATCCTTAATGAATCATTTTACTCTATTGCAGGACAACCCCAGTGCACTACAGCCGGCCTTTCCGTTGTATTTAGAAAGAAGCACAGTAGAAATTAAATCAGCTAAATAATATATTTAGAATTTAAAGGTACACTAATTACAGCTGTGTACAAAAGTTTGGGTGGTCAAATGATTTATGTTTTGATTTTGTTAAATTGAAAATAAGTTAACACATCCTCTACAGATAACACACTTTAGTGTACACATTTTAGTGCACAATTACTGTTTATTTGCTGAATTTAATATATTGGAAAAAACATGAAACATAAAATGTGGCCTGCTTAAATTTTATGGCACATTTATTTTATTATAAATGTTCTCAGAATAGAAACTCAGAATATAATATAAACTGTGCACTGTAATATAAAGAAAAATGTCATATTTAAGTTTGTTCCCCGTTGAGGATGTGTGTTAACTTATTGTCGCTTTAAGTAAAAAAAACATTTTGCATACAACTGTATGTTAAGTCTGTACATCTATGCTGCACAAGCTAAACATGGATAGAACACCTGGCACAAAACAAAATGAAAAATGTCTTTTCTAATACTGTTTTTTATTTATACAACAAAATTTAGTCCATTAATTATGAACTTATTGTACCTCTAGGTGTTTTTGGAGAATATAGGGTGGCTGTAATCAAGACTCCTAGTCATATCACTCTCAGGTAAATAAATAAATAAATATATAAACCCCTCAAACTCTAGGTTTAAGGCCTAGTGACCAGTTGCTCAGAACATTTTATGTTAAATGCTTAAGGGATGAATTCAAAGCTATAAATACACATTTAAATTTTGCAACTGTCAAAAATATAAGTGCTAAAATGAAAATGTAGGGTCCAAAACTCAATTTACATTTATAGATTTCTTTCACTTTCTACTTTAATATTACCCTGAAGATTTTATCCAGCTCATTTAAGTGATGTAAGGCCAAAATTCACTTAGGATGTTAGTGCAAGTGAAGGCTACATTATTCAGTTGTTTATCTTAAGGATTATTAGCCACAATATTACTATAACTATCATGAATTACTTGGTAACTACTATTAAACTTGAGAAGATTTTAGGGGGTCAAAGCGCCAATAAGGAGAGTCCCAAACATGACTCAATTTATGTCATGGTCAGTCTACATCTTGCCTTACCCTGATTTTACAAGGCACTCATGAACTTTATTTATGTCCCTCAGACGAATACTGCGTAACGGCTCCTTATCCTGCAATCAGAAAATGACACTGTCATTGTCCATTCCAGCCTTGGCAGTTTTACAGGCATAAAAAAATTACTACTGTATCTCACCGTTTCATTTTTGTAGTAACTCACGGCCAGGTCATCTAAAACAAAAAATCTTCTCTTCCAGCTTTTTCTCTGAAAAGATAAGTGAAAGTCATGAACAAAAGCAGTGGCTCTCGGTGCAGGACCATAAACATCAGATATCACACGCCGTACCACGTTGCCTTGTTTGACGCAGTAGCCCGATCTCACAGTGTTGGGACGTAAACTCTGGCACCTTCTCAGAGTTACATGCGAGCTTGGGTCATTAGTAAAGACATCATCCGCTTCATTCTAGAAAACAAATACAGCAACTCATACACGGTTTGCATTCTCCATCAGGCACACAGTGCACACAAATGTCCTGTGAAACCTAATAAAACACAAAAACGATAAGAGAACCTGTTGGACCGGTGTGTGCACAACCACGCCTCCCACGATCTCTGTTTTGTAGGCCTGTCGAGAGGTTGACTGAGTTTGGCTTGTGATGGTGGCAGCATCTGTGCTCTGAGTAACGGGTGATATTTTGGGAACCTGAACATAGAAAAATCACCTATTAATACTAATCAGAGGCTAATCAATACTAATTAATGGCTGTCACTACAGATTACAGTGTTCTGCAAATGTCAGAGAGCATCTCATTTAGATCATTTCCAGTTAAAACGACCACAAAGTACCAGTTATTAATTTCTTAGCATCAGGAAAAATAACAAGCCTCAACAACTAAATATAATATCAGTTTTTTCAGTATTTAGTGTGTTCACGCTTTGCCTTATTACAGCTTCCAATCTTTTCAGAACACTTAATTGTAGTTTATCAGAGGAATCTGCAGGGAACGTTTTCAGTCTTAGAAGTTTTCTGCTTCTCATGATCTAAATAATCCCAAACACATTTAGTGATGCTGAAGTCGTCAGTCCATTGTTCTGAGAACAGCAGCAGCTTCTTTGTATGATTTGCAAATACTCTTCTGTCTATTTCCTTTTCTCAGTAAGGGCTTCTTGGCAGCTACACATCCTTTTAGTCTCATAGTGTTGAGTTGTTTTCTCACAGTGGAAGGATGTACAGAAACACCTGTGGATTTTTTCAAAACCTGAATCAAGAGTAAAGTTGGATTTTCTCCTCTCTCTTAAAGATGAAAGCTTGAAGTGCTGTTTAACTGATGGGGACAGTTTTCATGGTCTACCAGGACTTTCCACCTTCTTATGCACATAGACTGTCTTATATCTAATCTCCTTAGAAATATCTCCTGAAAAATGAATAACTTGTACTTTATTTGTAACTTGTTTTAACTGGAAGTTAAATAAATGAAGTCTCTGACTTTTGCACAGAACTGTATATGAGTGACTGAGTAAGTGATTTTTTAATTTTGAGTATTTAGAGTCTTACACTGTACAATAGCAAAACATACACAGCTTTCCAAAGGCTACAAAACATTTCACCAGAGAAAGAGAATCTATCTATCTATCTATCTATCTATCTATCTATCTATCTATCACACAATATGTGGCAAAAACTGCATAGAAATTATTTCTTACTGTAAGAGAGACCAGTAGGAGAATTTAAATGCATCATCATCAAGCACATTGCTAATATAACTAATCAACACATACTCCTTGAGAATGTCAATTTTAATAACATTTTAATTGAGTAATCATGCTTAATCAAGTAACCATGACAGCCCAAGAGAAAACCATGCCAATAATTTCAACATTAAAACGTTTTAACCAGTGAAAATGCATTAGAAGTGCATGCAAAGATTCCCTGAGAAAACAGTGTGGCGCTTAGAGTACCAACTTTCAGCTCTTGTGCACAAGATCAATGGTCACAAAATAAACCAGCACACTGGCACATCAGCGTTCTCCAAAGCTGTGGCTGAAATTCAAATCAATTTACTTCCATGTATGAAGCCCTTGCTCTCTGGGCTACTGCTGCTTTCAACAAACCTCTCAGATGATGAGCTCCCGAATAGTAAACTGCCAAACTAATATACAGTCATAGCATCTGTCTTCACTTCCAAACAAAGATTTCATCATCCCTCCCACCTCACTGTCTGCAGGCCCATGACAACTACTATAGGTCATCACACAAAGAGCACCTGTTTGACTATTAACCCCTTAAAATCCCAGGCTTATTATTCAGTAACTACAGGGACTTCAATGCAAACTAGTTAAGCTAGTTAGTTAAGTTCTTAGGTTACAGAAGTAATAAAACTTGTAATAAAACTTTAAGCCTGCTGGTGGGCCCATGGCCTGTTAAGGGGTTTAATGGAGAAACCCTGTTGCATCAGTGTCTATCAAAAAAAAAAAGGATAGAGTATTGTAAGTACTGTTAACGTACTGTGATTTTGGTGGCCTTATTGAGGGCGATGACCCACTCCTTTAAGTCCACGGCATCATTGGCTTGGAGGAAGTACCGTCGTGACAAAGCATTTATCACTGCATATAAAGCCGTTGTGTGTTATTGACGTCATAACAGTTTAACTTCTGAAATATATGCTTATTAAATGGTCTGATGAGAAATGCTTCATTCTAGAGAAACTTACTGAGTCAGAATTGCTCACAGTGGTGGTGACAGGAATCAGATGTTTAATACTAAAAGCTAATCTAATCTAATCTAAAAGCTTCTTCACAGAAATAGTCATGAATAGGTTGCCTGAGATGTATTTTGTCAATCCATTCATGGCGGAGAGGTACATGCAGGGCGTTATAAGGCAAATAAGTTCTCAAAGAAAACTTTTTCCAGATTTACCACTTTTCTTCTATTATCAACATTACATATACAAAACTCTGAAGATATGTGTAGCTTCACTGGTGATTTTGTAAATAAAATGGCTGTATTTGTGTTGTGGATATTGTGAACGCTGGTTCCTAACAGCAGCACTGTAAAGAAAACTCAGTGAGTTTCTCTACGATGAATCATTTCACATCAAAAGTCTTTGTTTGCATGACTTTGTTTACATCTCAACAACTGAATTATGCAGAAAAGTGGAATTCCCCTTCAAGGTGTATTATTTGGTCACTACTGTGAAACTAACATGTAAATTGTTCAGCTTTAGAGTGAGTGATTGAAGTGTGTGGGTACACATACAGTCTCTTCAGATTTAAAGGTTTAAGTGAAACCCAGCACAAATAAGACTCACCAAAGCAGAATTCAGTCTTGGGTTTTTGCTTCACTGAAACTTCGCTGACCTGTAAACAAAGAGAGAGTGAAAAAGAAAGATAAAGAAAAAAAAAAAGGTTACGTTAAATACCACACCATATTCAGTATTGATTGTTATCAGATGAGTTTTGACCTCAGCAATGTGGCCACTGCAAGTTATCTCAATCCATTTAGTAGTAAGACTGAAAGACTCCAAGCAAGTACTCAGTAAATAAATGATCTGAACTGAAATGAACTGTGCTTTACAGTAGCCTTAGTGCAGTATGGTGGGAATTCTTCTCCAGGATTTCTCCAATGAAACTAATAATATAATTTTGCTAACCGACTGTAATAATTATTTAAAAAGCTTTACCTTTGAAATATAACTCAGCCGCAAACTTCCAACAAAGCCTGCTCCTTCTGGCAGATTCTGTTCTCAAGAAGAATGCAAAGTTATGCAAAACACACAGACGCTTCTTTGGAAACAATATCAGTTTTATTAGTGTCATATGTCAACGTGTCACGTATCAGTGCTCCAATAAACTCTTTCTGCACTAATATGCTGTTAGAATTACCTGTGGATTGTCCATGTACCACAAGAGAGAGTTGCGCAAGGTATCCAGGATGAAGTAGCGCCTGTAAAACTTAGAACTGTTCTCATTTTCCTCGATATCCAAGAATCCACAGATGCGGTTCTGTCTGTCCAGATAAGGCATGTCCTAGAACTACCAAGAGCAGAGAGAGGTTATACACCACAACCGCTCCACAGTCTACACCACACTCACCTGCAGTATACAACACTAATTTTTCAAAATATATGAATAACTACATGTTTAAAATGTAAACAGTGTCATTCAGAGTGGTTTGGTGTGCAATGCTCCACTCTAGAGAAACTTACTGTACTGCCTGATAGCTGAGACTTTGTTTCGCGATAGTTCTGAGATAAGTTTTGGCCATTCATGGCAGAGATGTACGTGCAGAGCATTCAGAGGACAAACAGTACCCTACGGAAACTTATTTTTTCAGATTTACCACTATTTTACCATCAACATTACATGTGCTGGCTCACTGGTGGTTTTAGTTAGTACATTAAATGGCTATTTTTCTGTAGAGATTGTGATCTCTGGTTCCTATTACTACCACTGTGAGGAAAGTCTGTACTGTAAGCTTCTCTACAAAGAACTATTTCGCATCAAACCACTCTGAATGACTTTGTTTACACCTGAATGATGAATTACGCAGACATTTTATAAAAATCAGCAGAATTTAACCCTTTAATGGGTTAAAAAGTCGACTTTGAACATGGTTAAAATGACATTCTCATAACGACACCCACCAAAGAAACGGCCCCTCGCTTCAGAATAATTCCCTATAGCGCTATTAAAAAAGATGGTTCTTCAAGGGTTCTTTAGTAAACACAATGGTTCTATATACACCATGAACACTCGAAGAACCATTTGCATGCTTAAATATTTTTTTCGCATGGTGAAATGGTTCTTCGGATCTATAGAGAATGTGTTGTATATGTACAACCTTTTTAGAAATTTAATGTCAAGCTTGTCACGACAGAAGAACCCTTTTTGGTGCTGTCTAGAACCATTTTCCAAAAGGTTCTATATAGAGCCACATAAAATACATTCTCCATTAACCTGAAGAACCTTTTCACCATGTAAATGGTTCTTTGAGTGTTCATGGTTCTATACAGAACCATTGTCTTTACTATAGAGTCCTTGAAGAACCATCTTTTTTTAAGAGTGTAGAACCATGCACAACAAATTCTCCATCAATCTGAAGAACCATGTAAAGAACCACTTATGCATGCAAACGGTTCTCTGAGTGTTCATGGTACTATATAGAACCACTGTTTTTATTAAAGAACCTATGAAGAACAATCTTTTTAAGTGTTTTAAGAGAGCTCTTTTTAAGAGTGTAGAACCATATCCAACACATTCCCCATCAATCTGAAGAACCATTTCACCATGTAAAGAACATTTAAGCATGCAAATGGTTCTTTGAGTGTTCATGGTTCTATATAGAACCACTGTCTTTACTAAAGAACCCTTGAAGAACCACCTTTTTTTTAAGAGTGTAGAACCATATCCAACACATTCTCCGTCAATCCGAAGAACCATTTCACCATGCAAAGAACATTTATGCATGCAAATGGTTCTTTGAGTGTTCATGGTTCTATATAGAACCACTGTCTTTACTAAAGAACCCTTGAAGAACCACCTTTTTTTAACAATTCAGAACCATATCCAACACATTTTCCATCAATCTGAAGAACCATTTCACCATGTAAAGAACATTTAAATGGTTCTTTGAGTGTGCATGGTTCTATATAGAACCATTGTCTTTACTAAAGAACCCTTGAAGAACCACCTTTTTTAAGAGCGTAAGTTAGATAGTTAGATAGTGAACACACTGTCTCAATGACCAGAACGTCGCTATGAACCTGCTTATTCAGGCTATGCAAAGCAGTCGTCGCTGAAACCTTAGCTGGTCTTCATGTCTCTCCTGCACAGTTCGCGCCACAGAGCTGGGAGAACTGAAGGGTGTGAACTCGCATCAGCAGCCTCTCCACTGAGTTGCCACAAACGAGGAGGTGGATAAGTTTTACGTCAGAAGCAAGGATGGCGAATATGAGGGGGAAAAAGGGCTTTCAGGAGGGGAGGAAGTTTCTCCTGAACCACTAGCAGCCCACAAACACATCTGCCACACCTAGTGTTCAGCCTCTGCGCGTTACCCGTGCCAAAAAAACTAGCGCCAAGTCCCACTCACCGACGATGTCCTTGTTTTTTTGGGGTTCTTAGGTCCTCCTTCTGCTCCTCAAAACGCGTGGAAAGCGCTCACCATGGCGAAGAGGACTAAAGTAAGAGTTTTGACGCAGGGAGGAGAGTTTAGCGCATGATAGCTCTGACATGGATGGCTTTTTCCGGGTCTCTCTCTGCAGTTGAGTTAAAACCAAAACCACGCATCCGGTTGGGTGCGCTTTTTTATGCAGAAAGAGGAACGTAAGTAGGAGCATGTGCGAAGAAGGCACAACTGACCAGCACTTGGACACGAATAGCACAACTTCTTGAAGACGTTTTTCATACGAGGCTAAAGTTGGCTTCCTGTCCGAATTTCCCCGTTCCACCTTAAATGGTGCAGCACTTACATTCAGGCGCCAGAACGTGACTGCGGCTCTATTTAAGGTGGAACGGGGAACTTAAAACAAGTAGCAAAGTTCAGCTTCGTCTTTTTCGCCCAGTCTAAAACTGAACTGTAACGTTTTGGTTCAGACGCTTTTAAGTGCACTTATCCATATTACGTGCGACCAGTAAAGGAGAACTCCACCGTTTTTTCAGCATTTCTGTTTACCTCAGTTACTGGAATGTAAACAGTCATTCAGAGAGGTTTGTAGAGAGCGGTGATAGGGACGCCATGTCTACAACACAAATATAGCCATTTTATTTACTATCCAAAACCCCCGCCAGTGAACCTAAACGTCTTCTGAGTTTTTATACGTAATGCTGATGATGGTAAAATTGTGGAAAATCAGAAAAAATAAGTTTTCTTCGGGAACTATGTTGCCTCGCAGCGTGTATCACTCCGCTATGAACGTATTAAAAAAGTTTGGAACCGAAATCTTTTCAAAACAATCGTCTCGACGTCAGGCAGCGTTCATAACCGTTTCATGTAATTACATTCTGTGAGGGAGCTTTTAGAAACTGATTTCTGGTTCCTTTCACCACGACTGTGAACAATTCTGGCTCGCCAAGTTCCTCTAGAACTTTGCATTTCACACAAACCACTCTGACTGACTTTGTTTACATCTTAACCATTTGATTAGGCAGAAACTTTGAAAATGCGGTGGAGTTCCCCTTTAACGTCCGTTTATAACTGTTTTAAGTCCCCTTTTTCTGTTTTACCTGTTGTTTAAGTAACATTAAGGCATATATTTCAGTAATATTTTGAATTTGGCTCATTTTGGACTAGAAGGCGAATGCCTAGACGCAAACCTGTTAGCATTTTTAACTTGAGGAAAGTGTTGTGTTAGCTTCTCTAGCACTAAGTTAAACGTAGCCTAAGCTAACGTTACATGAACAGTGCAGCGTATCTGAAAACAACAACAACGTGGCCGTAAAGGTGCCCTTAAAACTCAAACCGCCCTCAGAACAAAGTCCGAAGCACTCAGTTACAGAGAGAAACACTGCCGCTTCCCTTCGTTCAAGAGAAATTCAGATTTGAAGGTCACTCAGTAGAGTTTGCTGCAGTGTGAGGAGGTAACGTTAGCTCATTATTGAAGTCCATTAGCTAAGGGTTCCAAATCGCCATTTGATGCCACATTTGCTGTCAAGTTAAACACAGTACTGCCATTCATTTCTTTAACCCTTCGTTTATTTAATTTCCACTCAAAAGACCAGTATGTACAAGTTATTCTAAATAGACACACACACACACACACATGATATATATATATATATATATATATATATATATATATATATATATATATATATATACGTTTTATTCTGTCCGCTGTCATTGTCACAGCTTCCATACTTTTCAGGACACTTGCTTTCAGAATTTCAAATAAATCTGCTGGGATATTTTTCCACACCTCCAAAGTTCAGTCTTAGAAATTGGTTGCATTTTCAGCTTTTCATCATCCAAATGATCCCAAATATATATATATATATATATATATATATATATATATATATATATATATATATTATATATAAATCAAAATGAATTCTCTTCCCTCTCCATTTATACCCAAGATTCTTCCCTACCATGGAACAGTCTGCTGCTAAATGAAAACACCCAAAGCCATACTGACTGGGTGCCCTGGAATTACTTTGAGCAGTACATTGATGACCAGGACTTTGAAGATTGATGACAAGGTTTTTGAAGTTGTTGCTTATGTTGCAATAGGGTTTTGGTCTGATGCAGTATAGGAAACAAGAAATATGACATCAACATAATTACTATACAACATCCTGCTGTCCACTATAATTACATGTTTATTACATAAACAGGACATGCTGGTCCTGAAGGCCCACTGCCCTTCACTTTTTAGGGTTTTCCTGCTTTTAAACCCTCTTTAACTCAGTAATGGGCTGTTAATGATTAATGATTAATTTGATCAGGTGTGTTGGGAGCGGAGAAAACACTACAATGTGCAGGGCAAAGGGCCTTCAGGACCAGGTTTGAGAAATACTGCTCTAGTCCTTCACCAGCGGTCAGTTTCTGACCACAGGATGCTGTTGGCTGGATACATAGGCTTTTCTAAATGTCCATATAGACAATCATTGGAAGTTCTATATGAAATATCACAAATTATAAGCATCACCTGTGCCATGCTTTATGTCTGGTTTCACATTAACAGTACATTCCCAAAATATTCTATCCAGCCACATTCTCCTCCATCACACCTTTAGTGAGGTGGGGTTCTACTTCAGTGCACAAAAAAATAAAAACAGGTAGGAAAATTAGTTTTAGTTATGCACAATAAGTAACTGAAACTATGGGGGATGAAAAACATTGCTTGACATGAAAAAAATTCAAAATCGCAGTGATATACTTGGACCTTTTGGAATGACTCATTAGATGTTACTGCGTGAAACAGCAGCTTGAACAACAACTTAATCACAGCTGTAGAGCGACCTTATTAATAAGAAGGCCTATTATGTATAATCCTTGGCTTATATACACTGTTTCTGCATCATTTGTCATGTCAGACAGTGGCAGACATTTGATTTAATACAGTGCAGTGATACAAAAAACCTCATATCTCTGTTGTCAGAAGAAAACCTTGTATTTGTCTCCAAAATGATAACTTTACAGGAGAAGGATAAAACCTACTTTACTTTTAATGTAAGTCATTGGAACCAGACACCCCCAAGTCATTTTGGCCCGTTTCTTTTAGCCCATTCATCATGAACTTTACATTCACTGCAAAGGGTAACAAGGTATTTTCAAGTTATATCAAAAACTGAAAAACCTCAAAAGTTGAGATACGAGGTTTTCTTCCAAGAACAGCGATATGTAGATTTATCAGGGTAAACTACAAAAGAATTCACACAAAAATATATCAAAGTAATAGTATTATATATAAAGTAATGGTATTTTTTATTTGAAACACATTCATCAAAAAAACTGCCCATTCTTGACTGTACATTACAAAACACAGTCTGTTTATCACTTCGTCATAAAAACCTTTTGTGGTTTTATTAAAATTGTGAAAATGTTCTAGGTCTATACCAAGCAAATGATAACAGTATAAAGCTTTTGATGTGTGTTATTGGTTTCTGATCAATATAAGACCGTTTCATTTCCGTTTTAATTCCTGGTATATTGCTGAAGTGTGTTCATGTATCATAATACTGTACAGAAAAATAACTAGTAACAAACAAACCTTCTTGAGTATTTTATTAAAATTAGAATGGGTCAATATGATTTATAAAACCATATGAAAACAAACTGAAATGCACTAAAATACCACTGGCATTTTTTTACAGTATTTAAAACTGAATACATATCAAACATTTTACATATGTCGTCACTACAAGTTTACAAGTTTAGCATGTACAAAGCAAAATAACTTACAACTATGAACAAGGGGACGCTCGCCAAAAGGCAAGTAGCCAGATTCTGTAAGAAAAAAAAACGAAGCCAAACGGCTGTTTTTAGTGAGTAAGTTATGAAACGGAACATGTGTCATTTGAAAGAATCCTTGAGAATGTGTAAATATTCATAGTTAAAATCCCATTTTTCCCAAAAGACTCAGCCGGTGTATCTGAAAGGGAAACAAAAAATAAAAAACATATTAGCATAAGAAGTAAATTTACACAGGATCTTGCTGATGTGTGATGCAGGGCACCTAAGAAATCAATATTATACATTAATTTTTTTTTAAATTAATACTCTATAACCTCACATATTCACTAGCACTTAAAAATACAATTTTCTTAATTTATTTAATAAAATGTAAGAGCAAATGTACAGCAAGAACAACAGAAAAGCAGACCGACATAAACAAGATTATGTGAAGAGAAACGTGCATGAAACAAAGCAAACTATTCACCTGTAATGAAAACAGGGAACCGTGCAGAGGCGTTCTGGATCTGGAGACGAACTAGACAGCGAAGGTAGTCTGGTCTGTCTCGTGAAATGACATCACACTCATGGTAGGGCAGGACCTCCACTATCCCAGCTTCCTGGCAGCAGTCCATGAAGTGCTTCCTCGTCTGTGCCTCGGGACTGCACCTGAAGGTAATGTGGCCAAAAAGAGAGACAGAGGCTCACACTGCAGTCATTCACTGGCTAAAGCTGCTGTTACAGCTATAAAGGTATTAGATCTCCTTACTTCATACACCAAGTAACTTGTTAGGTTTCTGTTACACAAACTAAATGTTTAAAAATGTATGTTGAAGGATTTTTTTTGCTAGTCAAATAGCAGTGACATTTCAACTCCTTCCATTTCTTGATATATTCAATTTGGCTATTTGTTTTAGTTGCCACAGGATGTTTCTACAGGCTCCTTCTGTTTGGGATCGGCCTTCCTGTTATGTCCAAAGGAATAAACTTGAGTTTACCTTGCGTTTTCCCGAAGCTTGCGGCTGTCTCTGTAGTGCAGAAACCATTTCCACTTCCCTTTTTTATCAAGCTCCTCCATAATGCCCACAACCTTTTTCATGTTTTCTTTTAGTGAGTTTAGGAAAAGAAGAACAGAATCAAAAAATTACTAGAGATATTTTGAGAATTTCAATAATTAAAAAATATATTATGTAGAGATGCATCAATACCGATACTGGTATCAGGTATTGGGCTGATACCGTGCTCATTTACAAGTACTCAAAAAATTCACTGGCAACAACATTCCGATACCCACTGATACTATGTGACATAAGATGAGTGTACACTACCGCGCTAATGAACAACCGACTCAAGTTAGCAGTGCAGGAGGCTCTGCTCGCACAGAGGAGTCTTACTGACTGCGTGGAGCCTGGACACAAAGTCACTGGTCACTATAAACATTCTGCCTTGGCAAACTGCCAACAGGAATAGACAGTGCGGTTTCAGCTTATTTTTAAACACACACCATCATAACCGTTTCCCCAGTACGAGTGGAGACACGCAGACCAGCCACATGGAGGTGGAAAAAAGGCGTCATTTCCTACCAAAGTTTGTCTATTCTGACTTTACTCTGTTTAACTGAGTAGAATTGTGAGGTTGAATAATTTTTTTAACTGTCTTTGTAAAACAGGCTGTAGCGAGTGTGTTGTCCTACTGTGTACATCCACGCCTGGCTTTTAGCTTCAGTGCACAGTGTTAGCAGCGCTGCTCAGCTTCTCAGCATGTTTGCTCAGTACTCTGCATGTAGCATGTTATTTTGAATGAAACAGCTTTATCTGAAATTATTCGTAGACAGAACTGTCTGTAGGGGCTGCCTTTCCGTTGCATAGACAGAGTGTTTTCATACAGTGTGAGTGTATAAATTGTAGGTTTTGTCCATACACAATGGTCTATTTAAATGTGCATTGTGAGTCACTAAAGAGCAAGATTTCTAAAATCACAGTGTATGTCTGGCTTGAAAGGATCTTCAACTACAGCTCAACCAGCCAAACAAAATACTTCAGATGTAAAACTCCACAAGTGAGCTCCTCGGACGTGTCAGCCTTGGATGTGACTATCAAAACTATGAAACGTATTTCAATTACATCTGCACAGAAGCACTTTTCTGATGTGAAACGAAACCCACTCTTCTTCACTGCAGCCCTAATCAATCTAATAATAGCTGGCTAATGCACATTGTTTAAGATCATATTTTAATTATTTAATGGTAAACCGTTATGGGATTGGACTCGGCGAGTTCTAAAAAATATGTACTCATATTCAGTCTAAAAAAATGGTACTGATGCATCTCTAATATTAAGTAATGTTTTTATATATTTAAAAAACACTACCTAAGGTCAGCGTGTCCAAAGCAGTGTCATCAAATACCACAAAGCCTCCCTTGGCAAAAAGTTCCTGGTGCGTGAGGTTCACAACGTCATCAGGCTGGTCGATGCCTGCAAACAGGACTCTGGATGACTTCTTCAGATCAAGCAAATGTGGAACCTGGGAAAGACAGAACGTTAAGTGGAATTTGAACTCAAGTCCATTTCACTAGAAATTAAAGAATATTTGATAATAATCTTGCGAGAAAAAAAAATAATCTTACGTCACATATGTGCTCTGCAATATCCTCATTTCTTAATATAATAAGAAGAGGAGTTTGGTCATTGTCATCAAAGTCAAACTGGTAAGGCTCAACTGCTGCGTGTCCCTCTGCCTCCAGCAGGTCCTAAACATCAGAACAATATCCTTTTGTGAACACTTTTCTATGATCACACTACAACTGTCCTGTAATATTACAATACATTTCTGAAGTTGTGCATCATTCCGTAGTTGATGTCTTGCAAACTTTGGGGAAATTGGGTCTAAGCAAGTTTTCTGTAAGAGAAAAATGAATGGTCTATTCGAAAAACACTGCTTGGTGACCTGTGGTAAACAAAAACGTTCCAAACCAAATATATTTTTTCCTGTGTAAATTTTCCCCTCAAGCAGTGGTGGTGCTGTGACTGGGCTTAGCAGACTTAAGTCCACATATTTTTTTTTTATCAAAAGCCCACCTTAAAATGTCAGCTCAAGCGTGGTGTCAGTCAGTACCAATAAACCAAAACACAAATGAAAACACACTCTGTAAATATATGACACATTCAAAATTCCATTTTTGGCTTTGACCAATAAAAAAAAAATTCCAGTTTAACCAGTAACGGTGACTGAGGCATTTGCTAAATGTTGCTGCCTTCAAAACCACCAACACAGCTACAATTTTCAGCAGCAGAACATGAGACACTTCATAAGTTTTGGAGTGTAAGTTTATCAAGTTCTGCTTTAGTGATATTGCCAGCATTTTGGAGACAAATGTAGGAGGAACGTTGGGTGGATTTATGGATTGAAGGCATATGAACACCTCTTGTTTTAAGCAAGAAAGTAGCCAAACTCACAATACAGAATTAGATAAAAACAATAATTAGGTTATCCAAATCTGAACAGGACAATCATCAATCAGGTCAATAACACTGAAGGCATAAATGCCAGTAATCACCAGCATAGTAAAGTTACCAATCATTACTGCTCCCATGTGCAAGAGATGTGAATGTTTGCCTATTATGAGCTTGGACTGGTATGTCTTCTGGTTGACTAGTAAGCTGGCATCTCCTGCTGCAGTTTTTCCTAATGAACTGTTTGAATGACGATTAACAAACATCTGTTTTGGTTATACTTTGTGTTTTGCAGCCTATCCCTCTGGCCACAGGAGTAAAATTCAAATTCACACCCATAAATTTGTCATGTCCACCCAAAACAACAATCTGGCTGCACTAACTGCCTCACAGATGTCAATGGATCCTCTGAATTACAAGGTCGTTTAGCGGTCCAAATAAAGCTACATGCATGCTACAAGCAAGCTATCGCTACTCATTAAAATGATGTTGCATGAAAGTAAGTTATTACTAAACCTCAACACTATTGTTTAACAACACCAGTTACTCAAATTGTAGCTTACTACTGCCAAAGCAACTTAATTTTGACAGCTGACAAAGCTTGCTCGTTTGCACTGGATATTCTGGTGAGATTGCCAGTCTTCTGATGTCAATTCAATGTTCAACAGTGTTAGCTTGCATGTAGCAATACTTGAATTTTGGCTCCTCAACAACCTCGTGATTCAGAGGATCCAGTGACATTTGGAGGAAAATGTATGTACAGCAAAATTACTGAAAAAACTACATTCATTTTTCTTACCAGCTTAGTCCCAGAGTTCCTAATATGGGTAAGACGATGACTACTAAATGATGCACAAGTTCAGAAGTCCCATCCAATGTTTTCCTACCTTGGTCTCCTCAAAAAAGGGGTCTGCTGATGTAACCAGGATGTAGAACTTGTACTTGATCTTGCATGCTTGCCTCACAATAGAGTTCAAATTATCATGTAGGTTATCGAACATAGCCTTTTTGATGCGACCACAGAAAGCAGACTGTTTGCTGCTACTTGCAGCACTTTCAACATCCCGTTTTCTTTTGGTCTTGTCATGCTGACGCAAAGTGGTCTTGCCAATACAAACATCATTCATCATGGTGTTGTATGACTTGGCACATTCTTTCGTTATGTCCGATATCTTGGTGCAAGCCGCCTCATCACCTCTTTCACAGAAAAGACTTCGGAGATGCAAGGGTTTACCATAATTCACGACCTCCCTCATGACTTTCCTTTCAGACATGTCCACGTTTATCTTAAACTTGGTGTGAGTTGGCCAAGTCTCATCAAATCGAACAGAACTTTCCTGCTCGTCAAGTTTGGAAAACTGAACGGTCATGGGATTGTCAGCTGGGTTGAGATTTGGTCTGTGCTGTGTTTTAGCTATGGAGCCAGCCTTGCAGTTTTTGAGCATCTGATTCATCTTCTCTGAGAAGATGAGATACTCAAGTTCCATTAAAGACTGGGTGATGTCAGATTTCGATCGCTGATCTTCCCAGTTATGGAGAGGGTCTTCAACGGTCAGGTTCACTCCATGTGTGCCTACTGATCGTTTTAGAGTAGACGTATTTTCAAATATTGCCCTGTTACCTTTCTTATCGAAGACGGTGATGATAGAAGAGGGTGGATCACGAGCAAATCTATCATTCTCATCACTCGTATCAAATATTCCTTCTCTCCTGAAATACCTGCGCCAGTCAAAAGACTGCTTGCTTTCTCCTTTATGCTGATATGAGCTAGAAGTGACTGTCCTTAATGTTCTTGTTCGATCTGCACCACAGGAAAAGGTCTTCTTTATGCTGTACTCTGTAGCTCCTTCAAAGTCTTCTTGGTCCCACGTATCTTGATAGAAGGTTCTCTTGAGTTTCTTTCTACTGTGACGAATACCGTCTGTATCATAAGATTCAGATAAACTCAAATCTGCTTGATGTCTAAAAGGAAAAACTCTTTCATTCGACTCATCCACAGCAGACACAGAATCTGCACAGCGAAAGTGGCGTACCCAGCCATCTGAGTCACTGTCTGTGGCCTCTCTTGGCATCTGTGCAAGTTCTCTGTGAATAGATGTATTGTTCCTGAAGTGAATAAGAGGACCCTCTGCATCCTCAACACATGCAAAGGGTTCCCTGAGCGTATCTGGTTCATCCGTTTTGAAGCTAGGTCCATGCGTCCATGAGGAAAGCAGTTTTGATGACTGCTCCTCATATTCCTCAGACATATGACCAAACTGGTCCTTCTGAAGCCGACTTTCTTTAGAATAAAGGTGTCTTGGTGGGGTAAGGTCTTCATGCTCAAAATGACGCAAGTTCTGTTTGGGCACATGTTCACTGATTAATGGTGATTCACTTTCATCATTCACTTTTACTGTGGTGTCAAACTTCCTAGCAGACCGACAAGTATCCTGAGGGAAAGATTGTGCTCCGTGACCTGGAGAGTTACAAATGTGCTTCTCTGGACAGCTAAGTGGGCAAACAGACCTGTCGGGTGCCGACCCTTTAACAGTGGGGCTCCTGTTTACTGGGTGGAGCTCTCTTTCAAAACTGTGATTGTCTTCTAAGTCCTCACAAGCCTTATAATCGTATGGCAGTTCGTCCTGAGTAGGGGTGCAACTTCTGCTATTGAGCTCATGCTCCATATCAATTTGCAGAGCTGGTGGCGACATATCCTGACTGTCAGAATCATGATGTATCTCAGAGGTTTTACCAACAGGCGCTTTGGAAATTGTGGAGGTTAAGCGATTCTGGTTGGTGTCTTTCTCCTGCGATTTAATGTCTTTGCTTGAATCAACCTCCTTGGTTAGTGTTGCCTTTGAAATTGCTAAATCATCAGCCGCTTTGGTTGAGTCCCAGTGACTAGATTCATTTATAACACATGGTTCCGTGTTAGTGACTACATCGCAGGGAGAAACATCAGCGCAAGCTCTTTTGGGTTCTGCCTGATTGATCACAGGAGTCTCGTTCTGAACCACAGGTGAGTGTATTGTGCTTTCACTATTATTCTCTGTTGGAGAGCAAGTGGCACCAACAGCAGGTGAACTTTGGCCTTCTTTCATCTTCATGAACTGCTGTGAAGACGAGCCCACACAATCTGCAGATGAATCTGGTGCCCCCTCTAGTTGAGCATCATCACTGATGTGCTCTCCATCATTTCTTACTACAGATGTCTCAGCTCTTACTTCACCCTCAAGTGGCTTTACAATGTCTTTCACACCAGCCTCACCACCAGAGACATTCACTTCATTCACCTGTGCCTGAGTCTCATCTTCTGATTTCTTCTCATCACATATTTTCATATCTACACTGTCTGCCAAGTCTTGTTCCAGAGCAGATGCATGAGACTGAACAATTTTTTGCTCTGAGTCCTTTTTACTGTTGGTATCATCACCCATGATCTGTGCTCCTTCCCTTTTTTCACTTTCATTACTTTCATTACCTGTTATTTCTTCACATGCACTTTTCTCAGACTTCTCCAGCACATTCTCTTTGATGTCATCTGCATCAATCACTTCATGAACCTCCATGTCTTCCACCTTGTCATCATGGCGCTCACTCACAGATGTACTAGCTCTAGCTTCCTCCTTTGTTTGATCATTCACATCCTTCACAGGTGTACCATCTCCAATATCACGTGTAGTTTTTACCCCATCCTTTGCATTATCATTTCCATCTTGTACATCTACATGTTTGCCATCATTGACATCATGCACAGGTTTAACTCCATCCTTTGGCATCCTTTCATCACTCATATTACATACACCATGAGGTGTCTCATTTTTCATGTCATGCCTAGACATGTCACCTCTGACAACAGGTGTCTCACTTCTGACTTCAGCCACAGGTCTTCCTTTCTCATTTGTCTTATCAGTATTTATTCTCTCAGTTGCATCATTTCTGCTATCATGTGTAGGCTTGTCAACACTCATAGGCTCGACTTCCTTCCTTGCTTTATCACTTACATCTACAACACCATGCATGTCTACAGGCACGAGTGTGTCATCACTAACCTTTTCCTTTGTACTGTCATTCGCTTTTTGAATGCTAATAGATGTCTCATCTCTGCTAACAAGTACAGATTTAACTTCCATTTCTGCATTATCATTTTCAGTACAAACAGCCATGGAACTGGCAGAACTGCTTGCTTCCACGGTTTTTAATGCACTCTCATCTTTGTTGTTGCCAGAGTGCACATTTTTCCCAGGCAGTGCTATTTCACCCTTGTCTCTGGACACACTCTCACTGTGCCTTGATTCTGGGGCTCCATCTCCAGTTTTGTCCTTAAAGCTTAGTGAACTGAGTATGATTTTTCTTTCAGAAGCTTGGTCACGCGCATTTGAGAGAATCACAGGCCCGACAGGCCGTACAACCTGGTGGAAAACAGCAACAGCTTTTGGATCAAAGTTTGTGATTTTGCCAGAGGCCACTCTCGCAGGGTTTCTGATCCTCAGTGCCTCTGGCACACCCTGATCCTTGCTAACAAGCACAGTCTTCGGCACTTTCAAGCATTTTTGTTCACCTATGCACATATTTGATGCCTGTTCACACAAATGACTGTATGCGCTGTTGTTCTCCAAGAGTTTTGTGTAGGAGCTTTCAGTGCCGGCATCATTGTCCATGTCACTGTAATCGTGGTCCGAAACAGAACTTTCTTCCAAGTGGTCCCCAGTGGATCTGTAATTCTGCAATACATAAAAAAAAATGGGCCTGTAAATATATTCAGAATAGAATTCGAGATGATTCAGATCTCTCTACAGTGTATTTGTATCAGACACAAAAAAATAAGTATAAACAAATTATATATAATTCAGGGCTGACCCAGATTTTTTTCTCTTTAATTTTTCTCTTAAATTTTTTCCTGAGAAAGGTCCTTTTATGATGTGCTCTTAAACCACAGAATTATTCACACCTTTGTGCTCTTGAGTGTGTAGATTCTGTTCTTACTTAAGAACAAATTCCAAATAACATTGGTGAATGTCACAATCTTCGTGAAAACTGCGTAACAGGGTTTTAAGAAGAAATTCTTCTTAAGAACGGTTGGTCAATGAGGGCCAATAATATTTATGATTCATAACTTTGCACATGTTCATTACTGCAAAATATTCAGTAGGAAGCAACTATTCATTAATATTTATTAATAGTCAGTGCTCACATGCCATATGTTGCTATGATAAAATACATATTTTGTTGATAACTATCACGGTTTTAGTTTTTATTGGTTTTATGTATTTTATTTGGCTGCTTTGCCATTTTTTTATCATGCAGTGATGGTGACACGGAGACCAAGTTGTGCTCAGTCGCAGATGAACTTCTGAGAGTGGAGCAGAGAACCGAGGAGCTTTTGGAGCTAAAGGCTTGTCTCAACGAAAAGAGGACCACCCTTGTACAGCCTGTCCAACTGGACTCGATGCCAAGGTCAGAGAACACAGGCTAGAAGGCAACAGTACTGCTGAAGCTATGTTTCCTTCCAGCCCATGGAATGCACCTCTGTGTCTGCCTTATAAAGGGATTCTGGTTGGAGTGAACTTCACTCGCACACCAGACTCCTCTGTCTGGGAGCACCACAGCATCAGCAGCATTGTTGTTGCCACCACTTCCAGAAAACACAACAACAAAAAGGGTTGAGGCTTTGAGCAAGCTTCCCAGTTTTAACCTCACCAGAGCCACCAACCACCAATCTCGTAATCATCAGACATGATCATACTGAAAGCAGCTGCATGCAGCCTGCTGAGCAGTACTCGCATAGCGCTTTTATATTTGCAGTGATTTAGCAAAGTTATCGTGCCTCCATGGTTTACCAGCTTCTTATCGCAAATGTTACACTGAGCATTTTTATCATCTGATACTTTTCAGTGCTCCCACACGTGATTTCTGAAGCATGTTTACTCTTTTTGCTTCAGTGGCCACTAGGGATGTGGATTTTGACAAAATCTGTTGACGGATAACTAACGATCTATTTGTCTGTGATTAATCGTTAACTGACAAACCTAAATCACAGACACGACCCATAAAAACATAAAATACAGTCCTGTGTTTTATATAAAAAGAGGCTTTGGGCTTTTTGAATGAATAAACACAGCCTAATGTAACAGATATGTCTGTAACACAAATGGAGTCTACTTGCCTACATTTACTACATATTAGTTAACTTAAAAATAGCCTGTCAGGGTCTAGCCTTAAGTTCATACGCATGGTTTAAATAACAATCAGCAAGCCAATAAGTCACAGCTTTTAAGCTTTTTCTGTCATTGAGTTAACTACCTAGACTAACCATTAACGATTGAATTTGTAGGCTCTAAAATAAAGCTACATTCAACAGAGGCAACGTGACTTTTTGAAAAAAAGTCAATTGTAGCTACTTTACCAATGTGTCATGTGGCTAAATATCCTAGTTGTGATAGTGCTGTAAACATTTAGGATGGTTCAGTGTTTGCTTTATCTCTTTATGAATGGCTCAGGCGTTACCAGTTAAACTTGACCGTTCAGAAATGGTCCTGAGTTGAATGAAAAACCCACCTATTCAAATCTCAGTTCTTTACCAGACTATTTTAACCAAAAGCATTGATCGAACATTTATGTATTTGTCGGCTAACAGTTATTTGGTTTATCATTAACATCCCTAATGGCCATGTGGAAAGAGGTGCAGTTTGGTGCACACTGAGGCAATGTGATGTGGATGCCTGGCTTTAATGTATGATGCATTCAACTAAATCAGCAATAGTTTATTTACTTTTAACATTTTCCATATATTAACAATAACCATTGTATTTAAAGCTGTCGCTGATGAACTATAAATGTAAGACGAAACCTTTGTGGCTTGCAAAAAAGAAGAAGCTTCCAAATCCTAAAAAGAGAAATGAAATCCAACATAAAGAACAAATACTTGTGTATTTGAAATTATTCGGGCCAGCCCTAATATAAATATGTACACATATACACACATGTATATACACACTACATATTAGGAAAAAGAGCCTCTGTTACTCTGAGATGTTCAAAGAAGTTCAGATAAAGCCTAGACTCCTATAAGAAGACAAATAAAGTGTGTGCCAACAGTTTTAATTGTGAACCTAAACTCACTAAACACATAACACTGACAAACTTATATTACTCGGTCAAAACAAGCAAGCTAGTTCAAGCAACATCACTATTATACACAATTACATGATTATAAAACTGCAGGCTAATGTTTATGAGACAAACCTGTATATGATTGCAAACTCTTACCAGGACATATTTTTGTACTTAGTGTCACTTTTTCAGAAGTTTTCCATTAGTTAAAATCCCGAAATAATTGCTTCTGCCATCACCAGCCCTATGGTGAAACCTCTAGGGGTGTTAAGATACTATTCATTAAGGAAGACACATGTATTTCATATTGACATTTTCTTATTACTGTATGAAGACAAAATATTCTAGGATTGCTTACCACAGCACTTAATTTTGTTGGAACTTTGGAAGAATGGGATAAGCTGGTCCCATCGGCTGGCTCTTTACTTTCCACTCTCTGTTCCACTCTTGATCCTGTGTCAGAACTGGTTTTGGGACTCTCCCCACTGCTTCCTTGCGAAACAATGCAGTGATCTGAAGGCCCAGGCACTTTAACCGAAAGGTCCAAAATATCTGATACAGGGCGCAAGGGACTAGTTTCGTCTTCCTTGGAACTCAAACCAGCATCAGATACTGGTGGAGAAGCTTGAACAGGACTGATAACGTCTGGCACTTTTGGAGGGTCTTTTCTTTCTAGAAGGGTAGAGTTGTGGTCAAAGTGAAAGAACCTGGATGTGGGTTTACTGTAAAACAGACCTATCCACATATGGAAGATGAGATGGACTTGCTCATACGTGTCTTCGATGCTGAAATCCCATTTGCTGAGAAAATTAAGACAGAAACGTGCAGTTAGCAGTATACTGTACGTATTTACTATATTAACTATATAGATTTTAACTATATAACTGGCATTTTTGGCTTTATTATGCCCTGTAAAATGTCATATGCATAATATGCAACTGTTATTTGAACATCAACAACACATAAGCCTAATAATCTAAATCTAACGTCATCAAAATAGCGCATGACCTAGTTCCACATTAATTTACGTGTAACCCATGGAAACCCATTTCAAACAGAACAATATATTGACAATACTGCAGTTCAGGAATTTCTTCTGCTCTGTCTGAAAAGATACCCAGAGCTTTTATTTTATTTTTACACGCAATACATGGCCGAATGTATGCGGACACCACTTCTTATTAGTGGCTTCAACCAAACCATTGGTAAAATGCATAAATCATAAGTCATAGAAGCTCCTAAAAAATATTCAGGCAGTATAAAAGGTAGCATTGTAGGCTTCGGTGACTTTCAACCTGGCAGCGTCATAAGATGCCTCCTTTTCGTCAAATTAGTTCCTGAAATTTCCGCCCTGCTAGAGCTGCCCCTGTCAACTGTAAGTGCCATTATTGTGCATAAGGGTTCGGCACACTGTTGCTGGAAACGTGTTCTCTGGAATCACGCTTCACTGTCTTGCAGTCTGATGGACAATTCTGGGTTTGGTGGATGCTACCTGCCTGACATTTTAAGAGACTGCCGACCAGCCGCTTCAGCGCTATCTCCCTGCTAAGTTCCTAAATCAAGCAAAAGCGGTAAGTTCCTGCAATTTTAGAGGATTGTGTGCTTCCATCTTGTGGCAACAATTTAAAGAAGGCCTTCTAAAGAATGGTTTGCTGCGAGTCTGGCCCAACATCAACGCTCAATATTGTAGCTGGCGTCCAATTTTCAACAAGCACATATGGATGTGATATTAGGATGTCCACATACTTTTAGCCATGTAGTGTATGTGTGTTCCAAAGTTTTCAAACTGTACTCACATGCTGTCTTTCATACTGCTGCAAAATTACCTGACAATAGTTTAACATTTTATATAAAACATTACAGGTAACAATCAAACATATTCCTTGCCCAATATTAAGTGAAAAAATGTTAAAAGACAAAGAATTAAAAAGAATATAAAGCAAAAAGAAGACCACCATAGAGATTAGGGCAAAAATCTATTTCACATACCCATGTAGTGCTCTTGTCACACTTTTCTCTAGTCGGTCATTTGTGAACCTGCTGTCATATGTAAAGTCATAGCTTTCTCTCCAAAGTCTTCCCACTTGAATCGAGCCCTCCCTTTCGATGATGCGCCTTTGGTGGAGAAATTTAGGCTTCCGCATTTTGGCCTTCGGAGAAGATGGGGGTGGCATATCTAAAGACAGATGTCTCCATCCATTTTTCCCTCCTTTATCTGGACCAATTGCACCACTAGAGTGTTCAGGTAACTTCAGCTGAAGCTTAGGATTCAAGGACAGAAGAGACTCAACACATCCAGCAGGAGGGGGAGCCTGGGGGCATACTCCTGATAAACCTGATAGCAGAGAGGTGGGCTGTGAGTAAGAATGCTCTTTTGTTATTTCCAACATCAAATCCCCAGGCACTACAAGACCCTCTGGAAAAGGGGACTTGGGGGGTAATTTTAATCTGGCAGAGGAGCCTCGCAACAGAGTGTGAAGAACTGACTCCGGCGAATTACTAGTCTTGACTCCAACAAGGGTCTCCTGTCTGGGTTTTGCTTGAAAAGGCAGCATTTTGTCACTATTCGCACTCAGGGCCAAGTCAGCCAGGAGATTAAGAGCGTCTGAAGGCAGAGATACACCAGTGGCCAGTGCCTCTTTACTGCTTTTGCCATCAGAGCTAATACCTTTTCCTCCTACCCTATCCTCAGTAAATGCAGCAACAAGCTGTTGGTCAGCCTGTTTAACTATTTCTTTAGAGGCAGAGATGTCAAAATTGATGCATCCTGTGAAAAAAAGAACAAAACACAGAGACAATAGTGCATGAAAAAGCAGCAAGAAAGAATGGGCATGAAAACAAAGCAGAATTTGTCACATACATGCACGAACATACACACAACGAAGGTGATAGAAGCAAGAAAAGAAGCTGTGGTGCTTTCCCTACTGAAAATGTCAAATATTGGTATCTCGTTAACATGACAACGTTATTAATTGTAAATGTCATTTTAATAGGTTACATACAAGAAGATTTTTAGTAGGGTTAGCAGAAGCAAAACAAAAGCAGACAGAACACACTGGACACATTTTTAACACTGACATTGTGCTATTACATTTTCAAAGCTTCTACATCAAACGCACGTCTACTAGCTTCACCGATTACTCAGAGCACTAAATGTGTTCACACAGACATTTCAGGAGGTTTTATGTGCCACAGGTCTCACTTTTATAAAATCATTCCAATATTTTTTTACAACCTAATACCATATATTATACGAACATGTTAAAAATCTTTCCACTCATGTCCACACATTAAGGCAAGATTTATTTTTCTATATTCATACCATTTTCTTTGGGCATCAGCTTCTCTTGGGATGATGAGGTCTTGAGTTCTCTCCATGATACATGGCTTTGTTTAAATTGTGAACTTTTGCTTGGATCTTGTTTATCAGCCAGTTCCGGATCTTTCTGTAATACACTGCTGCTTTTGTCTTTTGTATCTTTACGAGGACTCAATTTGCCATCGTCTGGAGTCAAGTCCACATCTGTGTTTGATCTGCCTTTTTTCAGTTCAGGCTCTGCATTCTCTGTTGCAGATTTTCCATTATCTCTAGATCTCTTGGCTCTTTTGAGCACTGTTTTTAGCTTACTTATGGATATTGCCTTGTACACGTTCTCTTTTGGTTTGCTTTTTTTGGGATCAGAGTCCAACGATTGGCCAGAATTGTTGTGGGAAGTGGTGTCTTTCTCAGTAATGTGTTGGGGAGACAGTGCTTTAACTGGCGTATTCATGGGAATGTCTTGTATGTGTGTAGATGGGGAAGGCGTAATTGGTGTATCTGCTAGTTTGTCACTTGCAGGACTGGTAGTTACCAATGAAGAGTCTTGACTGTCGTTTGTTTCTTTTGACTTTACGTCTCCCGTGGCAACGTCCGATCCATGGGGGACAAAGACCCTGCCACATTCTGTGATTATTGTCTTAAGGCCGTATCGTTCTCTCATGCTAAAGCCTTCCATCTTTCTTTTTGGTGTGCTGGTCATAATGATTCCAGTAACACTGGGCTCTGTAACGGAGGGACTTTCCTCCACTAAAGATTCAGTTTCACTGCTCTTAGCATCTGACCTCAACACCCGCTTCAAACTGACATCGACATTCCAGAACCTCTTGCGCCGTGGGAGAGAACGCCAGTCTTTTTTTGGCAGGTCGCTGGTTGAGGAACACACCACCTCACTATTACCACTCTGTTCAGGCGTAGCGTCTACAGGTGAGCAAGAGGGTAAAGAAGTGCTTTCAACAGAAGCTGGAGTTTCACCTCCTTTATTAACATTCCGTCTCAAACCCCTCTTTTTCCTCTTTCCACGGCGTCTTGCCAAGCGTTTCATATTACGCTTTGTCTGAGGAAGAATGTCACTGTTTTCCTCTGGCTGAACTTTCTTACAATCTTCAACTACTGCTTCAGTCTGGTTCTCTGATAGAGTGGGGACTGAAATGGATGTTGGAAGACCAGCTTCCTTTGGAACCTCCTTGTCCTCAACAGGTATCTGATCCTCATCTTTTGGGGGAACATCTGACCTGCAGTCTTCTTTTTTGGTAGTATCACCCTCAGCCTCTGCCTCACAGGGCAGACTGGCCTTAGTTGCCACAGCTGAGAAATCAGTTCCACTTTCTGTTAATGGTACACTGGTGGTTTCAACGGAAGTTTCTTTTGAGATCGCCTCTGGACTTTCACTGCATTCATCATTAGGGGCAATCTGATCAGAGGCACTCTGAGACATCTTTTCACTGTCTGTAACAGCATTATTACAGCGTTCAGGCACATCGCCTGACTTAGGTGAGGGATCTGTCCTTTCACAAGGGCTGTCAGAAGTTGCCATGACCACTGTACCAGGTGTGCCACCTTCCTCTGGCGAAGCAGAATGGGAAGGTTCAGCAGCCACATCTTTCTGATTTTGGCCAGTGGCTTTCACTTCATCAGACACACTGTTGCTGCCACTTATATGGTCAGCTTCATCCGTCACATCTCTTTCCAAAGATGTGTCAGCAGGTGTTTGAGGGGCCTCCTCAGGTGATGATATATAATAAAAGACGTCATCGTCATGATCATCATTACGCTGCTGTTTTCCAGCAGCAAGCAGCTCCAGTGCCCTTGCCACTGGAATTTGAAAGCCACACGGATTTTCCAAGTAAGTCTTTAAGCGTGCCCCAGCCACCTCTGTCCATTTTGGGGCAATCAGTGGGAAACCGTCAGGTACATCATACTGATCAGGAAACATACTGGCTTCCCTGACAGGGCTGCTTGATAGACCTGGTAAAATAAGTGTGGCAAAGTTCTGCAGATGCTTCTCCACTGTACCAAGAGGCTCCCCCTGCTGATTTGAAGGACACTTCTCCATTTCTGATTCAGCATAATTCAGTGCTGGGAGAACCTGAAGAGTCTCTGGTGAAACCTTAGGCTTGACATGTCCTCTCTTGGTCTCTACACAAAAAACAAAACCAATAATAATAAATGAAGCCATTTGAAAGGCTACAAAGATTGCCATTAAATGCTTTAAATAATATTTCGTCACCTCTTGGCACAGATCTGGAATCGGGGAAAATAAACATTCCTTGAAGAGTGGAGGCTTTGTCCGTCCCTGCACCTACAAACATATTCCAACATTTTACTGGTCAAAGTACAGCGTTCCGAAACAAATTTAGGTACCGTGTAAACTGGATTTAGAGTAATATCATTACCTTCATAAGAGAGGAAATGAGACGAGTGCAATAATATCAGGAAACCACCATCATCTAAACATACAACAAGGGCCTGTATGTGAAAAGAAAGTGAAAATTACGATAATGTACTGTAATTACTATAACCTCTCCTAGCCCATACCCCCTGCTCCAAAAACTACCCGTCCCCCACACTTACCATGTCTTTCTCCTTTAACTCCTGGGTTAAAACAGACAGGTCATTTCTTGCTTCAAGCGAGACTACATCATACAAACTGAAACTCCTGCCATCTAGACAGACTAGAAGGAAGGAAACATAATCAGATAAATAAACTTTTACAGCCAAGCAGACGTGCTTAGCCAAGTTAAACATTTAGGATTACATCATGGTCTAAGGCACTGTGAAAGCTATAAATAAGTAAAAAGAATTTCAACACACCTTCACCAACAACAGAAGTTTCAAAAACTGCTTGAGGCAGTGTCTTTCTCAGCTCAGAGACTCCAATAGCATGGGCAACTTTGACTGTCTTTGAACTGAGGAAAAATACAAGATCGGTCAGTATTGTATTTTCATGCTCAGTATCTTTTTTAATGGGCTGAAAATTACAACATTCACTCATATCGATAATTTTTGGCAACATAAATCGAATGAGTGAATATGACGCACAGGTTTGCTGGGAATATGGCTCCATTGATGGACTTCAACCCGACATCGTAGACAACAGACTCAATCTTGAGTTGGCCACTCCAGGGTTGGTAATGAAATGCTGAAAATAAAGGGTCTCATTAAATGACATCAAGCAGGAACAACAACTATGTATTTGACAGACAGTGAATAACAGATTACAGTAAGTGCTTGTGTAGTACTCTATGTAATAAAACATGTTCAAAGGTTAAAAGTTTAATTAAAAAGTGTACTGTTTACACAACAATAATGACATAATGCCGAGCTAAATGTTAGTGTAATAAGAGTCCCTGTATAACATACACACAACATACATATATACATAATAGTAATGTAATGCTTACATGTCTTTTTTTCCTGGCTGAAAAAGGAAAAAAGAGAGAAGAGACAATATTGCTTATCAGTTTCAGCACAATGTTTACTTACATATCATATAGGGCTGGGTGATACTATATACTATATAATGGGTCGGCCACACTGTATTGTTGTTTGAATTTTTAATGACAAATCAGTCATTTCCTGGTCGCTCTCCAGTACACTATATAGTAAACGCTACGTGGTGAATAGTGAATGACTTAATGAGTGAACCATTCCGAACACAGCAAAGATTTATTTTTAGATAAATAAAACACAAGGACGAACGGTATACGACCATATTTATTTTGTACAGCAAAGGATGCTTTTTCTTACTCTCTCTGTTTCTCTCACTACATCTATATTTTAGAACACACTCTTATCATGAGCAGCTTAACATGGTAAACAAATGCAGGACTAGAGGTCTTGTCTGTATTCCCACATGAACAGGGAACAGAACCCTGGTTGCCCATGTACAGGGCAGTGGTGTTATCCATTGCACTATCTGACCATTTTATGTTATCTTTTGAAGTTTCCATTTTGCTAATGAGACTTAACCATGGGGAGTGAAAATGCAGACCTAGGCCTAATTGCCGGTTGTGTTCACAACACTTTGAACTCATTCACAACACAACTTTGCCATTCATTTTACTGTACGTGCACTTTTGATAATGGATTAAACATCACTGTAACTTTCGTGACACAAACATTTCTCAACCACAAAAGCACAGCAGCTACAAATACAACATAATCGCAGAAATATTTTGCTAAGCAATATAACTAAAGATTAAAATAAAATTGAATTAAAAAATTATAGCTTGATACCAGCAGTGCTTTGTGGAATTTGTGACATCATCGTGCAACAGACGTCTTAGTACATTTTGGGGAAACACTCATAAAAAGCAGTATCTAATAATAAACTAATCATTTGGATCTTTGACATAGTGTCAAATATACTTAAACATGGAGGTGACATGGCATGTAACGCACATCATTACAATTACTGTTAACCTTTGTTCTGAACACAAACAGCAGGGGGCGATCTCTCTACTTTCCTTTACTTGCATGGCTGGCATGGTCTTCAAAAAACAAATCGCAGATAAAACATGAGTAAAATGCTCATAATGTGGTGCTCTGATATAACAGCGATATTCACAATGTCAGCTAATTTTGTCCAGAAAAAAAATGTTGCAAATACATAGTCATTATGCAAAACTATAACCCAGCCCTAATGTCATGTACTGAGGAAAAGGATGCAGCTTTTTACAGAACATTACTGAACTTTGCTACTTGTTGAACAAATTTAAGCAGAACCTCCAGTGGAATCCAGTTAATGTAAATTATCTTCACAGTACATTCTGCTAACAATGCTAAACAATGTGTGAAAAGGTTCAAGTTTCTCCCATTTTAAAAGTACAAAATTTTTTAAATGTCTATGACAACAACATTGATTACAAAAATGTAAAAAGAAAGAAATATTACGGTTTAGTAGTATTTTGGCTACAGAACAAACATCTGACATTGAAACTGACACATGTAGCTTATATGCTGCTTCTGGTTAAAGTTATAGTTATAGCTAAAGCAGCCTGTGGCCTAAATGCTATTCAGACACTCTCTTGAATTGATAGTTGAATTGACAGTGCTGACCTTTTCTCCTTCAACTCTAGATCTGAGATGGTAGCCTTCCCGTAGGAGAATGCCACAATAGCGAAAGGGCACACGTGTCTCGGGCATTGCGCAGCTTTCCTCCCTCTGTCCAGGAGCTCATACATATAATACTGTAAAAATAAATATTAACCTAGTCAAGCATTAACTCAATAATCACACTGTTTTCTCGCAGGAATGATGAGAGTACGAACCATCAGGTAGAATACCCAGCTTTTCAGAATGCACAAATGTGTAATGTGTAAACAAATAACAGGATTTCACACTTCAGTGGACAGGTAAAGGTTGCCGAGTCAAAGCTGAAACACACAAAGAATGAGGTGTACGTCACCTGGGTACGCTCAAAGGCCAGGAAGGAGCTGGTAGTGGTGCATACTGCTCTGAGCTGCTCTGACACATGACAGTCAAAGCCAGCGGTTGGACGCGTGAAGTTCTGGGTGTAATTCTCGGTCACCTCTTTGACCCGACCCTGATAAAGTGCAACACAACATTTTCCTTCAGAATGAACAAATCACATTTGGACTGCAAAACTGGCAGCTTGGACAATTTTTAGGGGAAAAACCTGACAGAATTACATTAATCTTTCACCAGCAATCACTCGTCCTTCTTTTTTTATTTTTTTTTACCTTAGTCAACTTTAAGATGACAATGTAGCCGGTCTTGCCATCGTACCACCGCTTCAGGTCAAGGCAGTCAGAGTACTTTGAGATATACACACCTGGTTCAGAAACAAATTCCAAACGTTATCAACGTTATCAAAAATTAACAAAAATAAAATACAGTTTCTAATGAGTAAAGAATTTTCATAATACCATTATCCATTTAGTATTTATAAGCTTCATCTAAAACAGGGGTGTCAAACTAAACCACTAAAGGGGCCATATTAAAAAATCTTAACAAATCCGTAGGCCAGAGAAAAGTTTTTATTTTACTTTATTTTAATTCATGTTGTTATAACTCAAACTGACCGCTGTTTATTCAAAATACTCAAAAACTTCAGCAGTGAAATACAGATGCATGTGGTAGACCCTGAAATACTGAAAATTTAAATGTCCCCAGGAGCTCAGTCTTTTAAATCTACCTATTTGCTTGAACCTGGCATCCTTTCTTTGCTGCAAGTTTATTAATACTTGGGCTCAATTCCTGAGCTGCTGAGCTGACATTAAGTGTTTATGTTGGCTGCAGTTAGTGTGTTTGGTGATATGACTGGTGAGGAACTGTGTAGAACTGTTTAGAATTGAGATGTAAACGCTGTCCCACAGACTGCTGTTGGGGTAGGAGAGTCAGAGCACACTTCACGTTGCAGTGCATGCTGGGGACTGTAGTGCAGCGCATTGTGAAATGAGCTAATATGAACAGAAAATAAAAATATTTTTGCGGGCCAGATAGGACTGTGTTGTGCCTGATCTGGCCTTGTGTTTGACACGTGGTCTAAAACCACATACCATACCACACTACACATACTATATATACCATGCTAATGAATGTGCTGCTGATGGTGGTATACTATGGTGGTGTACTATGGTGGTATACTATGGTGGTGTACTATGTCAACAGATTGTTTAATACTATGCGGTTTTACAAGCAGCGCTAATTTCCACCATCCACACAACTCTTTCAAGGTTAAAGAGAGGCAAGAATGTATCTTGAAAATGCCTGAGATGTAGAAAGCTAAACTTTCTTCAATTCTACACATGAACTAACAAGATATACAACTACATACAGTGTATATTTCTAACCAACTCTAACTATCAGCAAAGTGTTTTGTCACTTTCAAGCTCCAGCATGTTGCCTGCTAAAGCAAACAGCCATAACATTCAGGAAAAACTAGTTCTTCAACAATCTAAGCAACACAACAGATCACCAGGACAGAGTATATGACACATTTCATACAGCATGAAGCAGTCCACCTCCCAGTTCAGCACTCTAAGCTCTCTCACTTCACAATCAATCTAAGCTTTGTCTTAACAGCTTACTGTTAAACATGTATATTTCTTTTAAAATGCAACTGATCAGATTTACTAGCTGATTATTATTAATGTATCAATTAATAATGACAGGTTAGAGAATCAGTAGACAGATCCAGACACCACTACACCACAGACTACTACTGCAGAACAACATGTTCCCAAAAGCAGAGACAAAAAAGGGAACAAAATCCACTGCTGAACTTTGCTTTGACTAATAACTAACAGCCATTAACCCTTCAGAGAACGGCTGCAGGTGGCCTATGACAGGGTGTTTTAGTGCCATTTAGAGAAAACAAATGACATTACCTACTGTCAAGTAAACCAGGCCAGTGTTTTCCAGGCCCTTATCCCTTAGTGACCGGAGTGCTTTTGCCTGCTTTTATACACTGGATTTAACTCAATGGCCTAAATGAACTGAGTTAGATGTGCTAGATAAAGGAATTAAACTGAGCAGGGTTACTTAAGGTCTGACAAACACTGATTTTAGATGTATCAATAACCTTTCTATACTCTGAATAATATGTAGGAATACATCCACAAAGTGAAGTTCCAGTACTTTTGAAATGACTTTAGTCATTTAAAGTGAGTTAGCACTGTATTTCTTTCTTACTCCACACTTTAGTCAATGGAAATCACGTCATGGTAATTTACTATTTACGATGGCCTTCATATCTAGGCCACGCTGATAAAGGCTTTTCACATCTTCAGTCAAGACCTTTGTGTAAAAAACAAAAAAACATTTTTGTAAAATATACCCTTGCAGTGACCGCACAGGCAAAGCCAAATAGCCCTGCAGCTCTCTGTATTGTTTTTCTCACGGTATTTTCCAGTTCTCATCCTCCAGTGCTTGCTTCACTGTTCCATAAGTACTTTGAACTTGCTACTCTAATACTTTCTGTTTCTATTTCTTTGTTTCTCTTACATACTCCAGTATATAAAGCTGTACATTTAGACTTTCACTTTCAAAACCAGAAGACAGCCTGGCTGGACAAATCACACGGTAGGAGCTTATTTAAAATAGACTTCTCTTGTGCTAATGCAGGGCTTACTTTGAACTTTAAAGGTACAGTCACTTCTAATTTAGAGTTTGTAAGTTATTCAAATCTCAGTGAGGGTCTTTATGTAATGTCACTGTGTTAGTCTTCTTGAGCTGAGAGTACTATACTACACTTATTGAGCTGACAGGATATATATCATGTACTTTAGAAACAGACTATAATCTATTACACGTGCTCTTATATATCAGGATTTATATGCGTTTAATAGGTAAGCTTTATCGCTGTACGACGGTCCTGACAGAAACTGAAACCAAAATTTACAGTTAGGCCTAAAACTATAACTTTCAGTTTCACAATGGAGAAAATGTCCCTGTAATTTATTATACATATTTTGAAACATAGAATGTAACTATGTATATATAAAAAGAGTATAAGTGTGTAACACACTATAGCAGCAATGTAAGATACAAACCTTGCCTCTGTTATACCAGAATAGTTTTGCTTGATGTGAGAAAGACGTCGAGGGTTATCGTATCTTATCATAATACATGGCATTATGCTGTTTGAAAGGAAAGTACCCAATTTTCCATTTACACCAAGATGTAGTAAATCAGCCACGACATGTTTGGAGTTCAAATTTTGCGTCTTTAGTTCAGAACTTGAGCTATGAGGCAAACTCAACCCACTCAAACTGCATCCAGGTCTTCATTAAGGTCATGCAGACTTGTCATTGTGGTTCAGGGCACTGAAGTCTTCAACACTACAGCCATTTCAAACAACACCTGGGCGGCTATACCAAAGCAGGACTGATCTGGGATCAGATTCCTCTGTATTTATGGTGGTCACTTTCATAAATGCTGATTCTAGAACAGCCCTGCTACTCCTGAGATGCTTTGTAAATACATACTCTGTTGTCTAAAGCGGCTGCCTGTCATTTTGTTCATTATAATAGTTCACAGTAAGTCACACCGTGTCTGCGCCGCGTTAATAAAGACATGAATGCGGTTTGACAAGGTTCAAAGAACTTTCAGTGATGTATTTTTACAGAAATTATCTGAGCTATTTGGGTGACTACTGAGTTTTAGTGTTAGCTATGTTAGCCTCGCTGCTCCAGTTCTAAACTAAAGAAGTACTATTTGATCTCTAAACATGTCTCAGCTGGGGTAAAGGGAAAACTGTTAAATGGTTTTTTGCTGAACCAATCTTTTAATGCCAAGCTACAATAAAAAGCATTACAGCAGTAACAGACAGATAAAAGAAAAGCTACCACAGCCGTGGTAATTATTACCCTTTGAGGAATCTCCAAGCGTGGTGCACGTTCCATGCCCAACCATTAGGCCTGTATCCGCAAGTTTATTTGCCTTTAAATGAAGGTCAACAGGTTGTCAGGAAATAAACCACCAATCATATTAATGTACAGACAGCGGTGTTCAGTGTAGCATATATGTACCGTGGATTCATCATCAAATAACAAGAAGCCAAAGGACTCCTGCAGGTCCTTATCAGAGTAGCCTTTTTCCTGTTTCTCAGCGCGGAAAGCAGAATACTGTGGAGAAAGTGAGAAGTCAAAGACAGAGATCAGTTGTGCAAGAAAAATTGCGCAATCAAACAGCATCAGGATTTAAAAATAGATTTGCACTTACCCGTTTTTGTAGAGTTGCATTATTTATCAAATGTGCCGAGCTATAGGTAAAAAACTCCTTGGACTCCTCATACAAATAGTTGTTCTGAAGTGGTGCTAAAATACTGTTGTCAAAGGTTTCTGAGCCTGGAAGCACAGGCTCAAGAAGACCTAGAACACAAATGACAAAAAATGACAATGAAAATCTTTTCAATGTGTTCACTGTGTTTCTGATCATCTCCTAATGCTTTTACAGATAACCCAGCCCAGCATCACCATCCAGGCATGGTTATTTATTCCAGTATTTTAAGCCTTTTAAAGTACTTTATTTAAGTACTGTGTCCCATTCCATTAAATTAGGTTCCACGGCTTGCCACTTAACAGACAGAGTGAAAGCTTAAAAATATTATGTTTAAAATATTCTACATTTATTTCCAAATACTGTGTCTATTTCATTAAAACTAAAATGACTTGTTTTTTATTTTTTAACTAACTTTTCCATTTCATACATAATATTGCAAAATAATGGTGCTTTTGCCTCCAAAATTTAGCTGAAAACACAAACTGAATTTGGTTGGAATGAGCAAATGCTGCCTTCCTCTGATACAACTGCAGCACTTATAAACATTAAAACGTTCTGCATATTTTGACAAACTGTGCAAAGATTAGAATGCAGTACTACTATGTTTGCTCAGTCAGCAGCTGGAAACTCGGTTTTGTTAATGGTACACTTCATAAAGATAATACCTACTTGAGATATGATCACTCCAGAAGTTATCTTGAATAGTGAGGGACCATTTGGAGTATATTAAGTTCAGAACCCTTAAAGAAGTTAAACAGTCTATTTGTAAAAATTCGATCATCTGATAGTAAAGAAATGAAAGGAGAATTAAGTGGCTCATTTAAGAGCAGGTAGACTTAATACAAGCCCAGAATTCACATTAAGGCTCAGTGTGGGATAACATCTGTGTAAAACTAGAGATGACACACTGGTATTGGTGGGTATCGATAATGGGCTGTTATCAGCAGAAAATGCTTAATCCAATCCAATCCTGTAACAAATCCGGCCTGTACACTTCCATTGCGTGATGGGATGTTGTTAGCTGTGTAATTCTTCCTGTTGTGCAGTAGGGTGTTTGAGTAGTCTGAGCACAAACTACTTTTAGACACCAATTTTAAGTGCTTCAAATACAAATAACTCATTTTAAAGCACAGTAGTTCTTAAAGAAATATCAGATCAGTATTGGTTTCGCAAGATTTCAATACTGGCATCGTTCCATCCCTAGTAAAATCAAACGAGAACTTGGAACATATTAGAAACTGCAGACTCAGCTGTAAACACTCAGAGGTATTCGTTCTGAAAATAAAAAAAATCTATAAAATAGACTGAAAACTGTTTACAATAATTGCCAATGAAATAATGTTAAGGTAGGGGTGGGCAATATGACAATATTTTATTGTTATCGCAATAAATGATGTTACAATACACATTTTTGAGTATATCATGGATACGGTCAGAACATAAAGAACACTGACCACCTGCGTATGTCATTCCGAAGCATGCATAAACAGTCCTGTTTGACTGGACAGTGCATTGTATAATCATCACAGTCATCATTTGGACAGTATTTCTGTAAATGTGGCACTGCTAGAGCTTTTATTGTCTGTTCTAACTTATCAAATCTATTCCGCTGATCAAAAACATCATATCGCAGTAAGTATCGTGTACCATGAAAACATTTTCAAGTATCGTGATACTCTATTTCTGCCATATCGCCCACCCCTATGTTAAAGTCTGGATCATCTTTGGAGTCTTTCACAGTTGCACATGTTTCACTAAAGATTAAACTAAAGTTTTAATTATATACACAACGTCCAAAGAGAAATTGTGGGGGGGGGGTGGATTGGGCACTGCATCAGAAGATAACACATCTAGTGTTTGCAGGAACTTGACACGCACCAATGTGTTAAAACACGTTCTGCTGGCAAGTCAAACTTCAGCACTGTATCTCTCAATGCAGTACTGTGTATCTCAATCTATGTTTAAATATATACGTTTTAACATTTCGCAAACCTGCTGTGGTTAAAAAAAAAACAAAAACACAACAAATTGAACTAAAACTGGTCATTTTGGCGAGCTGTTTTGGTTCTGACGCTGCTGTGAAGCACATGAACTCCCAGCACTCAACCACGACGAGTTAAATCACGCTAAACTAGTTCGTTCGTTAAAACTACAGAAACGTGTCGACGCTATTAAACGTGTTTTTTCCACGGCTCGGGCCTATGTGAACAGTCACAGCAGGCACATCTGAACTCAAAATCACAAATGGAAGTAGTTTAATGGGGGAAAAGAAGAAGTCGGTCACCTTCTTTTGCTAGTGTAGTGTCATTCTCCATGAAGGCGAGGCATTGGTGTTTGCTTTCCTCTTGGTATCAGATCATCGAGATCTTCCTTTCCTCACATTATTCTTCGTCGAAATGTCTACTAAACTTGGACTCCCGCACAATAAGACAAAGCCCAAAACGCTCTATCGTTCACCCCAATGCAAACATGATCTTCTCTAGCCGCATAAAAACTCTATTTCTGTAGCCCGACGGTAGTGAAAAAACTGGTCCGTCTTGAGCTTCGAGGATATGGAGAATATGGTTGTGCAACCAGGAAGAGCCTTTTCCAAACGGCTAAGCTAACAGCTAAAACAGCCACCAGGCTGAGCGAGCGCAGCACAGGAGCAGCAGCCCGCAAACGGAGATCCTCCTCCGTCTGTATCCGCGATTATTAAACACTCAGCGTGTGACTGAATCTCATACGGGCGTCTCATGGGTTGGAAACTGGCACCAGAGCTGTAGGCTAACCGCTTCCTGCTCGGCAGTGTCCCTCGGTTCTTCAGAGGCGTCGAGAATCGAAAAAGAAACAGAAAGTTAAACGGAAGCCTCCATTTTGTGTCGGCCTGCTCCTGCCTGCTGTGTCGCTCCGACGTCGCTAGCGGTCGCTGCAGAGATCTTCCTACTACTGACCAGACTAAACTTTAATAAAATATAAAGCTATCTATCTATCTATCTATCTATCCATCCATCCATCCATCCATCCATCCATCCATCCATCCAGCCATCCTTCAATCCTTCCATCATCCAGCCATCCATCCATCCATCCATCCATATATTCTCAATTACCTGAAGAACAGATGCTCTTCTGGTTTTCCTTATATATATCACACTAATGCACGAGCATCAACATCATTGAATGTACAGTTATGGCCATAATTTCAAGTTTCCCTATGATCTAAATGCAAGTGTCACTTTAAAACACTGGCCAGTTGAGCAGTCTTTCATTTTAGTCACCATTCATATATATATATATATATATGTGTATATATATATATATATATATATATATATATGAAGGATAAGCGGTTTAGATGATATATGTATATATATATATATATATATATATATATATATACATACATCATATATATATAGATATTACTGACCACTGCATGTTTCCCAGTGCTGCTGGCAATCAAACAATCACTGGTATAAATTTGTACAAAGAAAGTGCAAATGAGTTAACATGCATTTAGGCTTTAGTGCTGTGACTATGAACAAGAACGTTTCACTCAGAAATGGAAACCTGAGAAGAATTTGGACAAAATAAGCCAGTATGAAGCTAGAAGAGTCTCTGTATTTGTGCTTTTGTTTATTTGTTATTAAAGCCCATTTTCTAGGATGCAGCAGAATAAATTTGATGGCACAACCTGAGAGAACAAGCTCACTGAGAATGAGGTTCCATTTACAATAAGAATCTAAAAAACACAGACATGATACATACAAAAATACATGAATTATTATTTTTAAGAATGAAACACTATACTGTACTATGCCAGCTGTAAACATTGCACAGCTGTTAAAAAGATTCTTTTTCAAAGTCTTTGAAGTGTATAAGCAGTCAAAACAGCTCTGATGTGACAGTAACACTGAATATCAAATTTCAGTAGGAATGTAAAAATAGCTTTAATATCTCATCCGATAATTGCTAGTCTCTCACACAAGTTCTTTCACTGTGCAGGTGTATGTTGTGCTACTCCAACAGCTGTTGACACATGAATTCTGAATGGATTCTGAGAAGTGTTACTTTTCACTCTTCACTGTTGGCTCTGGATTGTTAAGGCTCATCACTTTTGACAGGGTCTCCTGTGCCAACAGGGTGATATCCTAAGAGGAAAAGAGGAGCTATTTACAATCAAGTCACATCCAAGAGTTGTCTAACTGTCAAAATAATATGAACCATAACGCATTATAAAATAAATTCTTTACGAACCTTAGTGGACACAAATTGTTTCACTATCTGCTCCAGTTCCTCCTGGACACTTTCAGCAAGCAGTTCAGGAGCCACAGCATCTGAGATCCATGACAAAAATAACAATACCAGCAGTTAAAAAGAAATAGAGAATGGTTTGCCAGGAAGCATCGAGGGTCATATTTAAGGTATTTAATGTGTCTTTATTATATGTTCTACTTTAAGTACAATGTATGCTGGTCACAATCATGAAACTATAGCTTATGATTAATTGCCATACAAATAGTTGTGATTAACAATTAATTTTTTTTTTTTGTTTATTGTATGCATGTGGACAAACTGTCTGATTAGAAATTGGACAAATTGGCCGATTAGCAATCTTTTTTCCTAGCTATGGATCCTAAGTAGATCCCATCTGATGACAGAAACAGCTTGAGCTCAATTAAACAAACATTATTCACCACCGCCCTCTGAAGGTGTTACTAACATACATTAAATATTACTCACTGCTGCCCCCTAAGGGTGTTACACACCAAACTTCATAACCATGTGCAGAAATTTTGAAAAACAAGCAAACAAACAAACAAAAAAGGTGGATTTCCCTTTAGTATTTGTGATCAGGTGATTATGTAATAACTGTGACAGACATAATGTACACAAAAATGTGTTTATTCTAAGCGTAAAGCAGATGAAAGAGGAAAGCACAATTTTTAGATATTTTTCAACAATATTCCTACAGTAACATTAAAACAACAGCTCTCTGTATTCAAAAATAACACAGATGCCATAAAAGAACCAGTGCTGGTTACCTAAACAACCTTTTAACTGTCCTTTTAAAAATCTTTTTGTAAATAATATATTGCTGTCCAAAAAAAAGTCTCCATTTTTTTGATTATACATCATTTGAACACAGAAGCTGCCCTTTACATTGTGTAAAAAGTTTATGATGATTGGCCCAATCGAAATGGACCAAAACTGCTTGGAATAAAATGAACTTGCATTGAATGTACAGAATGTAAAGTTGTCATTTTGGAGATATTTTTTCAATTTATTTTTTGACAGAGGCAATATGTATGTGTAAAGATTAAAAGACCTTCATACAATACGAAACCTTTTTTTGTCCAAACTAAGAATCATTTAAGATTTTTTTAAGAGTGTTCTTGCGCTCACCCTGTTGGACCAGCTGATTCAGAAGGTGGCAGAAGTTCTCTGTGACCTCTGGGTCATCAGGATGGTGCCCTCGCGCTGCCATGATGCAAGAAACACTCTCCTCTTTTGGAGCGAGAAGTTGGAGAGCAGCCTTCTCTGATGTGGACAGATGGGGAGAAAGCATTGAGATGTACTAGTCTGCACTATGTGCATTTTTGCTCAGTGATTTAGCAGCCATGCTCTCATATATATATATACATATATATATATCTGTGTTATATGTGGACAGCACTTTCTTTTGATGATAGCTTTGGCTAGGCTATTTCACATTTATTGGACAGGGGGAAAATCCATGAGCTCATACCCGGTGTAGAGCATTATAACACAGGAACTGGAGGTGGGTAATTTGACAATATTTTAATGTATCATTAGAAATTACATGACAAAATGGCAAAAAATGCTTTTCTGAACATATTGTTTATTTTAGCAGTACTTAAAGAATACTGACCAACTGCTTAGAGAGCAAAATTAGTTGTGTTTAAGTGGATTTATTGCTGTGCAGTATGTAAAACACTGAAAATAAATCATTGTAGTCATAGTTTTTAATAGTTTTTATGTGAAACTACTGGTTCTTTTTTGTCTGTCCCAACTTACTAAACTTGAACAGGAAGTGTTTTTGAACTGAACATTTGTCAATGGTACTTGGTGACTGCATAGATTCACATGCTTTCTTTCTCACCTGAGCTTCTGACCAGGTTGACCATGGCAATAAACACATGATTCACTATCCCAGAATGGTTAGGGTGGAATCTGAGTGCATTTATCAAGAGGAGTGTGGCATTTTCAATATCCTTCTCCTCATACAGACCTACAACATTGATGAAAGCAAAAAGTAAGTGAAAGTAAATACTGTAAGTGAAAGCAAAAGTAAATACTGTAAGTGAAAGCAAAAGTAAATGTTGTTTCAAGTATATCTATATGTCTATTAATAGCTCCTACTTTCACTCTTTTAAAAAGCCACTAAGGGCTCTTTTAACGCTGCATTATGTTTTTTGTATATGAAATCTGCCCCATATGTTTTAGATATGCAGTAAAAAAAGGAGAAAAAAGGTATATCTGTGTGTCTTGGGTTTTTACCAGTAAACTGGAGTATCTCACCGTGCATGGTCAGGGACTGTAGCACAGCACACAAGCACTCTGTCACAATTGCATCCTGCAGGTGCATCTGTCCCACACTGCACACTGTCTCAGCTGCACTAGCCATTGACTCTGCACTAGCCATGTAGGTAATACCTACATGAGTAATTCAGGAGAAAAAATAAATGATCATGACCTTGTGGCACCAAACATGTTGGTTACACAGTCAAAATCGCCTAAGACTGGAAGCGACCAAGATCAGACCCAGCCAAGCCATCACACCAATGCTTGCTGTCTGAAGCTTCTTTAGTGTTGCTCTGGAGCTACGAAGCTAATGTAATCAGAATCGACCAAGATCGGAATCGGCAGACTTTTGCTCCAAACCAGCAATCGGCACTCGGCCAATTTATTTATTATTTATATCTTTGGCCTGTGTTGCAATTTTATGATGCCAATAACGAGAATAAGGTAAGTTGAATTTGAATGCTGCTGCTACACCTGTACCAAAATGTTGTAGCATAATTATGCATGACTCATTGTGCTAAACAGCCAGTTGCCTCTTACTTTCTATGTGGCACTTTATTTGATTCATGTTTTTTGAATGGGAATTTTTTTTATTTGAGCATGTAAAACAAATCAGTTTGGCTCATGAAAGAACAAATAATGGGCCTCGTTCACCAATATCCTAACATTTTTCTTAAATTTGTTCCTGAGAAAGGTCCTAAGAAAAAGTCTATGTCAGATTCATGACGTGTTCTTAAACCACAGAATTGTTTGCACCTTTGTGCTCATGGGTGTGTAGATTCTGTTCTTACCTAAGAACAAATCCCAATAAGAAACACTGGTGAATGTCAGAATCTTTGTGAAAACTGTGTAAGTGGGTTTTGAGAAGAAATTTCTTCTTTAGAACGGTTGGTGAATGAGGCCCAATGTTATTTATGTTGCCACTTTGGCCATTAGAAAGCTAGAAAGCTAATGTTTGTTCAGTGTGTTCATTTAACCCATACAACGTGAGCTTTGAGTTAAAAAAAAAAAGACTAATAAAAAAAGGGCAAAAATTATCAGGCAGTTTACCTGTAACAAAATCAGAATCAGCTATAAAAAATCATCATCGGTGCATACCTAATTTTGGTTATAACCTGTTATTATAATTACCTTTTGCAAGTATATTCCATAGGAATCTGCAGGAGGGGATGACAATATCGTTAGTCTGTGGGTAGGCTCTCAGTGTTTTCAGTACTTCCTGTGCACAGCCTAGTTTCACAGTCAAATCACAGGCTTTCAGGTCCACACCATTCTTTGAAATGAGGAAGAGCACTTGAAATGCATTAGCCAGGAGATCTACATGCTTGGGATGATTCTGCACAGCTTTCAGGACATTGGAGATGACGTCTTCTCCAAATAAGCTGGAGCTGTCAATGCCAATATGCCCTCCTACAATAGCAGACAAGTTTGGGCAAACGTATGATCAATCAGAACCTGTTAGAGCATTAAGACTTTAAGGAAAGTACATTGATGGCTCATATTCTTTTGCTGACTGACCTGCAGTTAGAAGTTGTTGAAGGACCTGGCATGACTTCAGCTGAACACAAGCTGAGCCAGTGTGGCTCATCATAGCAGACGTCACAGCCTCCACCACGTCACTGACCCTCTCCAAGGCTATTATAAACACACACTGTTAATATAAGTTTGTCAATTCTCCATCTGTGGCAAATGCCACCCAAAACTTTCCAAGTTCCAATCACAAATAACATGTATAAACAAGTAGTTAGTACCATTTTTCTCCTTCTTCAGTAGATATGACAAAACAGAAAGCTGGACATCCTCTATATCTGTATAGGTCATCATGAACTCTACAAAACAGAACAAAAAGAGGAAAAATAAAACACTGAGCATCAACAAAGAATAAATGAAATAAAAAGGTTTAGCAAAGAATAAATTAAAGAGCTGATTCATTTTCTCCTGACCCCAAATGTAGTTGTACAATCAAGACAAGTTTAGTGTCTAAAGTTTATTTCTTTAGTTTTGCACTGGAGAGGCTAATATAGCTAACAAGTAATGGAAGCTAACAGCCACCGGTTTAGCATCTTGCAAACTGCATTTCTAAACTGTCACACCCTTGACTCAAATCTCAAGTGACCTTGCTTATGTGGGCTCTAAATATATATACACACACACACACCAACTGGCCACTATACCAGTATAACTGCTTGTGTATACACTGGATGCCTATTGTATCAGCTCCATTTACCTGGTGCATTTGGTAGTGCCAGTATGCTCTGCATACTTTGTTAGCCCCTTTAACACTGTTCTTCAATGGTCAGGACCACAAGACCACCCACCACAGAGCATGTATTATTTGGAAGGTGGAATGTTAGCGAGTTAGTTTGTAGTGTTAGTGTGACGTGTTGGTGGTGTGTTAGTGTGTGTTGTGCTGGTACGAGTGGATCAGACACAGCAGTGCTGCTGGAGTTTTTTAACACCTCAGTGTCACTGCTGGACTGAGAATAGTCCACCAACCAAAAACATCCAACCAACAGCGCCTGTGACCACTGATGAAGGACTAGAGGATGATCAACACATTTGTGGTAAGAGGAAAAACTGTGTACATTTTTGGCTGAACGATCGCTTTAATAGGCACTCATCATAAGCATGGGACTCCATACCCACGATACTATCAAAGCCTTCATGGAATGGTGGTCCGGTGACCCCCTGAGGAAGAGTCTTCTTCATCGTATGCAGTGAAGAGCCACAGAGAATCAGACAGTCCTTCACGAAAGCTTCATTCACCAGCATCCTGTATTGGTGTGAACCACAAACTAATATTTATGATTTGTTTCAACGTTCTTTGCTAAATAATAAAGCTGTTCATTCCATAATGTAATTATAGTGAACTTAAAAAAGTGAATTGAAACTGTGCCATCAGAAGCTTAATTCCTATCCAAACTAAGAACAATAATCCTTTTAAAAAGCTGTACTTATTATTTGCCCTCAAGGTGTACATTTGTATTCATTTAAGTAGAACAAGCCATAGCAGGGCTCCTTTTACATAATCCTCTAAGTGTCTCTGGGTCTTTTTGTATCATTTGTCCTGCATATTTTTAAGTCGCCCTGGACAAGAACGCCTGCCACATGAGTAAATGTAAATGTACGCGTACATCCAAAACACTGACATGGATTGGATGGCAATTCTGATATATATTTCATCAACAGTTTTTATTAGTAGGCTCAAAGAACCATCACTCATCTGTTCTTCTGTTCAACTGAATGGGAGTTTGTCTCAATTCAATGACATTATCCTGAGAAACTGACAATCATAAACACGACAGATAGACACAAGAGAAGACTGAAAATTAGATTTAAGAACAGGCAGCCTAACAGTGATTCTGTCCATTAGATGGCGCCATAGCTCTGAGGCAGTGAATTTTAAGCACGTTCTCAAAAGCCTTGCTGTAGCTGTGTCAATAGACTGTTTTTCAGAGAATACCCAGGTACTTACCAGCAGGGCTGTTCACCGGCACCCTGTATTAGTAAGAACCACAAACTCATATGCATTGTTGATTTCAACTTTCTTTGCCAAATAATTAAATTGCTGTACAACAAAACTGTTCACTCCACATAATGTACGCTGTAAAGGCATGTGCAAAAGGGTGACTGAACTCAAAAAAGTTTCATGCACTCTCAGAAAAGAAGGTACAAAACTGTCTCTGGGGCAGTACCCTTCTTGTAACTGGGGTGGTACCCTCAACATAATTGTACCATAATCCACTGAAATGATATTTTCTAAGTTGTATTGACTCCACACACCCTGTCTCGTCTCCAGGCTTTTTAATTTGTTGTTCTGTTTTGAAACATTAGGTTATGAAAAGGTACAAATATGTACTTTTTACCTGGGAAAAAACTTATTTAAGGTGCACAGTTGGACCTTAAAACCACTGTTGTACCTTTGAGGTAACATTTACATTGTTTGTACCTTGATGAATGAAAAATGCACCTGCACAGAACCTTTATTTCTAACAGTGTGTAAAAATAAAGGAAATTTAAAAAAGTGAAATTAAACTTGTGTGCCCTGCAATGGACTGGTGACCTGTCCAGGGTGTTTCCTGCCTTCCGCCCCAGCTCCCCCCGCAGCCCAGAAGGATAAGCGGCTTAGAAGCATGTGTGTATGTGTGTGTGTGCACCAACAGAAGCTGAATTCTGATCCAACCTAAGAACAACAATCCTCAACATCCTTAAAAAGCCGTACTTATTATTTGTCCTCAAGTTTTTTTTTTGTTTCAATTAACTAGATCAAGCTATAGTAGAGCTCCTTTTACGTCAAGTTTCTCTGGGTCCTTTGTATCATTTGTCTTGTACATTTTCTAAGTTGCCCTGGACAAGAACGTCTGGTATATGAATAAATGTAAATGTATGCATATGTTCACAACACTGACCAGACACTGGCTCTTTTTTTTGGATTGTGGCTGAACATCATGGTGAGCAGCTTGTGAAGGTCCTTGGACATGATACGGTCCAGGGGACTGAGGTCTTTCTTGATTAGAAACAGCTGGGACAGAGAGGCTTCCTCCTAAGAACACATAAAATTAAGAGACCACCTTTCATTTAATTAATTTCTCAGTCAAAACGGTCATTAAGTACATATTATTAATTTTTCTGCTTCAGAAAAAATAAACATGTGTAACAGAAAATTACACAGAAGCCTCAACAAACATATATATCATATTTCAGTAATTAGTGTGTCCACTCTTTACCTTCATTACAGCCTCCATTCTTTTCAGGACACTTGCTTTTAGTTTTTTAAAGATATCTGCAGGGATGTTTTTTCACATCTAAGTCCAGTCTTAGAAGTTTGTTGCATTTTCTGCATTACATTTTTTGGGTGGTCAGTCCACCGACGGTTACGTTGTTGGAGCTTGATTTTCTTATTCTTTTCATTTTTGAACTCTAGGTTTGGAAAATCCTTCTTTCGACTTCATTATGAAAGCGAATAATCTTACATCTAATCTTCTCATAATCATCTCCTGAGAAATGCATAACTTGCACTTAATGGCTGTTTTGTCTAGAAACTAAACCTAAATGAAGGTGATCTCTGACCTTTGCACAGTACTGTGTATTCATTAGTCAATAAAGTATTCTGATTCACAG